AGAAAGAAAGAAAGAAAGAAAGAAAGAAAGAAAGAAAGAAAGAAAGAAAGAAAGAAAGAAAAAGGGAGGGAAGGGAGAAAAGAAGAAAGAGGGAGGGAAGGGAGAAAGAAAGGAAGGAAAGGAAAAAGAAAGAGGGATGGAGGGAAGGGAGAGATAGGGAAGGGAAAGTGAATGAGATATAGATGGATGGATGGATAGGAGGAGGGAGGGCGAGAAAAAGGAGAGGAAGGAAGGACCACAAATCCTGGCACTAGATGCAGCTTCAGAGGATGCTTCGAAACAGCACAGCAATCCAGGGGTGGAAGGGATCTGAGGTCACCTAGTCCAACCCCATCTACAGCAGGAGACATCTGGGTTATTTTGGTGCCTCACCCAGTCACATGACCACCAAGTATGACCAAGCCACTCCCACATAACCGTTGTTAAAAAAATTGAATCCCACTGGATGGCTTCTCCCTACCAGTAGTTGCATTTATTTCTGCATATCTGGTAATCGGTTATGTCTTCAATATGTGATTAGTCTGGTTTTCTGGTTTTAGCAGGATATGTAAACTCACCCATTAATGTTTAGTGTGAACTTAGTACTGGTGAGTTTAGTATATTGGAGCTCAGCCAATGTCGGTTGGTACAGTTCAGCATTTGTTCATTCAAATTTTCATCTGAATCTCTTGTTGCTAACAATGCTGTATGTGGACAGTGAAATAGGCAGCATATAAATTTAATAAAAATTGTAAAAGATATAATAAAAAGTTACAGAGAAAAAAACAATTCAAACCTTAAAGATATAACATTAATATTGTAATACAAGGTAGCAAGGGAATTATTCCAGTTAAGATTTCAGATTAGATCTTCCTGTTGCTCCAGAAAATAAATACCAAGTTATTTTACGCCTTCCCAAATAACTCGAGTCCTCCTGCTATTTCAATTGCTCATTCCCCCTACCCACCCACCCCCAACAAAGTTTGAAATGTGGGTCTCAACCAAGCAGTGGTCTCATTGACCAAGGGAGAAATGTAGCTTTCTTAAATTATTTCCAATCTTTCCGACCGGTCCTTTTTCCGGCCACCGTTTCGTTTTCAAAAAAAAAAAAAAAACACTCCGAAATGGACGCACACCGAGTAACCTTTCGCGCACAGACTACATTTCCCAGAAGCCCGAAGACTAGTAGAGGTGGGAAGAGGAAGTGACGTACGCGCTGGTGCATGGGCAAAAGGGTAAAGGTGCAGGCAGTTTGGGGCATGTGGTTAGTCTTCCGCTTTCTCTACACGAGGGCCCTGCGGTGGTAGTCATGCCCGTGGGATAGAGGTGGTTGCTTCCCGCGTCCCCTTCCCACACGCGCGCGGCGAGAGCATGGCGAGAGCCGAGCGAGAGCAGAAAGAGCTGCTGGCTCTGATGCACCATCAGTTGGTCCAGATGGGTTATGAGAGAGCCGCCGAGGAGTTGCTGGAGCAGAGCGGCCAGGTAACAGCGCCGTGGCCCACGTGGCTGGAAACCTGGGGAAATTGTGGAAAGGCAGCCCTTTCTTGGAAGGCAGCTGCGGGTCAGGTTGCAAGTGGAACTGGTCCTTCCCTTCGCAAGGTTTCTCCTTTGGCCTGATAACGAGGCTGTCAGTCGCTTCTCTGGATCTTTGAAACAGGGCACCCTGGTCCTTGGATTACTTTATTGTGTCTACCCCCACTCCCTTTTTTTAAAAAAAATTTTTGGAAGCCACATAATTCTAAGCTGGAGGGATTCATTCATTCAGTTGGTCCAGGTTGCAAGTGGAACAGGTTGCATTCTCTGAAACTGGCCATTTACAATGATTTCGAGAGCTGAAATGAATGCCCTCTTGGATGGACTGGAAAGGAATCTTGTGACAGATCTCATGTAACACTTCTGCCTTGTAAGATACATTGGTTGTGAGTTTGCTTCTGAATGGGTTACAAGGTACTGGTTTTACCTAGGGCCTACTTACTTGAGAGACTGTCTGTCCTCCATAGTTCCACAAAGCTCAGGCTGCCAGGATTGGTGCACTCCGGGTTCCATTAATTAAACAGTGCCATCTATCAGGATTCTTCTCTGTAAGAGAGCTTGATAGAAGTTGGCTTGACATAAAGTATCTTATCAGTTCCAAATATTAAATACATTTAAAGCATAAAGGAAGAAAGGGATTAGGGTGGGCCTCAAGCCCTGCCTCAAAATATGAAGTCTTAATAATGTTAAATTTGACTCTGTGTATATGTGCGCACACCTGCAAATGCCAGTTCACTTTAATGAGTAATATATGAAGCACTTCTTTGAGATCATTTTTGAATTGTGCACAGCTCTGCTTTGTGGGATGGACTTAAAAATGGTGAGTGACATCACACATTGTGCAAGCCGTTGATCTCTAAGTACTGTGTATTTTATGGAATAAACTGTAATTTACAATGTTTGTAAAGCATTTAGATTGAAGCCATGGTTACAGCAGACCTTGACCAGCAAGAAATTACTTTGAGAAGAAATTTGCATGTTGAGATGAATGCCACTCATCAGTGGGTCCCACATTTTCTCCCTTGATGCTGTCATTGTCCACTCAGGGTTGCATGGGAGATGGGTTTCTGCAAAAATAGCATTTAGCTCCTCCACAAATGTGGGTGTTCTATGGCAAATAAAAAAGTATTCTTGTAGCTGTCAATTTGCTCATAGCATAATTCATGTGCTCCAGTAAGGATGCTAAGGTAGAGGGCCTGGGAGTTGAGAATTAGCAAGTAGCTTTCAGAACCTTGCAATATTCTTGGGAGTTCTTTTAATGGAAACTTTTTTGTTCTGATTGTAGTTGAGAGGAGCAACATGAACTTGGATTCAGTTATGGGCTCTTTGACAATTTATTAGATTTTAAATTCTTTTATTGCTGTTTAAAATAGTGACAAAAATGAGAAAATCAAACACAAAGAGAAAAATGCATTGTCAACACACATAGACAAAAGACACATAGAAAGTGCTTTTAAATGTTGGACAAGGTGTAAAATTCCAGGAATAGATGAATTCCTATAGAGCAGTATAAAGCATTTATAGGTCTTTTGATGTTAAAACTTTGCCAAATATATGACAGCATTCTGTTGGAGAATGGAATAAGGATAATACATATTTTTGCACATACTAGGTTTGGGAGAAAGTACTGAGTTATATCAATAAGACTGTGTAACAAAATAAGACAGTAGTAACAAAAGCTAAAATTTTCAGATGCTAGTATTCTTTTTTGAACGACATATCTAATATTTGGAATTTGGGAACCAGACAACATAAAGGAATTTCATGTCCTTATTGCCAACTGTTACAGCATTAGAAAGATAAATGTATGGCCCCTTAAACTCAATGGATTTACACTTGTTACTTACGAGCATATTGCCTATAGATGTAGATTTATATAGACAAGTATAATGATATAATGATATATAGAGTTCATTCATACATAGGTTAAACATCATAGCTATATGTACTTGAATAATAATTGTATTAGATAGCCATGCAGAGAATTGTAACTACTGCTAAAAAGACTTAATTATAATGTGAGGAAGAATAAGTATGCTAAAAATATTACCATTTCCTGCAGCAATGTGATTAGCAGTTACCAGGAATTTGTAGAAGGATATCTATTATTGTCATAGCTAATAGTCATCAACTATTTTAATTAATTTATCAGTGTTGCTAATTTGTGTTTCTTGTTGCTCTACTTAACATTTATTAGTCATTTTGATCTATTAATTAGCAGTGATGTTACAGTAAGCATGGTATTTCACTATTTGATATTCTAAAGATATGAAGACCCTTTTTCCCTTATTTTAATTTTGTGTCAACTCAGAAAATTGAGAGTTTTGGGACCACTGAAAGAAATATACTTGTAAAATGTCTTGGAATTAGTAAAATGCTCTTTTTTCACCAATATATTCATTTAAAAAAAAAAAGAATTTGAAGCAATTCCCATCTGCTTTGCTCAATTTTGAGTAGAATTATTTTAACTTCTACCATACCAAGAACATGATGAACAACCATATTCAAACATCTGAGGACACAAGATTGCAGAAATTTTGGTTTTCCAGGTGTATTGTATTCCATCTTCTTAAATAGGTTTGGGATTATTTGAGTTGTGATCCATAACATGTAGACAACTATTGCCTACCCCTACATTAGAAGGATATAAAGAGAGACATTTAAACCCCACAAATTTAATACATTTTTGTTCCTAGAAAAACAAAAATTGTTGTTTATTTTTATAAGAGCCATACACGTAACCTTGTTTCATTCAGTTAAGTCTTTGGTGGCAAATACCCCATTACTATTGTTCTTTTAACCTATTTCCTCCCTATTGATTGGCCTTGTCACTTGGCCCCTCAAATTATAGATTAGTAAGCCAACAACCATTTACCTTTTGTTGTTGTTGTTGAAAAGTAAAAGATGGGAAATGAGGATGTTCTACTCTGGATATTAAAGCTTCAGAGGAAAAAAAAATCTGGGAACTTGGGTGAGACAAAGCTATCTGGAAGTTTTCAGTAAATATTCACTATTTATTTCGGTAAAATTAATCAATGTGCTGATTGCATTTTTTTTTTTTTGCACCCCACTGAAATCAACAGGCATTATTCCTAAATAACACTGCCTATGATGGTACTGTAAAAATCCTAGGCATACCTTTAAGACAGATGCGGGTGTTTTAAGGCCCAATTCAGTCCATGGTGGGGGTCAGGAGTGGAGGCTGTGGCAATCCTCCACAACAGTTGCAGTTTCCTATATGGCCTTTGGGGAAATTAATTACCCACCTCTGTTTTAAGGACTAAAGTTCTACTTAATAGATTCATGTTTAGAATTGTAACTTTAATCCAGAATTTTTGTACTAAAGATTCTATCATAAAATGATTTCATCATACGGATCCAATGTTTTTTCTTCCTGTACAGACGTCTTTCCCATCAACTCATATTTCTCTGAGAGAGATCATCACTCAGTGGAAAAGGTAAGCTTTTCTGATTATTTTTGGAGGGTGGTTAGAGATGATTTGCTTGTTGCGACATTATAGCTATACTTAATTGTTATTTAATTTTTTTGCACTTGGTTTAGCAATCCTGATCTTGTGAATAGTGTATCACAGATCCAGTACTGGGTTTTGGACTAGTTTCAAACAACAGTATAAGAAGAGAATGTGTTTGTTGTCAATAACTTATTCAAAAAAGCTGCTTATAGTTGCAACTATATTAAGACAGATACTTAAATTAGCTTTCTTACTTCATAATATCACTAAAACTAAAGCTTTTTGGAACTATTGGTACCCGAATAATCCTTTTTACACAATAAATTAATACAAAGTGTGGTAATCTAGTGCATTGAACAATATGAATATAAAACTATGTTACATTTAGCTAAGCCATTTTGTCCTTTGTGTTTGTTCTCTTCTGTATGATATGGCTTAAACTTTTACATGATGCGTAGAAATACTTGAAGAATATCCTAGGACCATTGCAGTTTAGATTTTTACTGGACTTAATTAAATTTTGTATTGTAATTTCATGGTCATGCATAGTATGAGTATAGTTCTAATGATATTTTTAATATTAAATTAAATTTAAAGTCTGTTGGCCTTATATTTTCTTGAGAAAATGATCGAGCTGTATCAAGTCAGATCAGATTTGTGTGTGTGTGTGTGTCTGTGTAAGGCAAAGAAATGCCAGCTTTTATTTCTCCCACAATAAAGAAAGTGCTTCTGAAGAGGGGCACACAATTGAATATACTTTGAGAATCTTAGCAAGCCTTATTAACTCCAATTCAGCATCCTTATAAAATCTGTCTAACAGGGATTTCTCACAACTTCCGAAACAAAAGAGAGGCATTCCAGCAAAGCTCAGAATTCCTGACCCCAAGAGCAGTTCTGAGAGCTCAGAGGAGGAAGAGGAAGAAGAAGCAGCACAAACCATACAAAGTAAGAACCAATGAGAATGAACCATTCAGAAAAGTATTTAAATGATTGACCTTGAGAAGAAGGTAGGTCCATGAAAAGGGGAGATGCAGATGTCTCATTAGTACTACAAGAAGCTGAACTAAAGATACGTAAATCTTAAAACCTGCTGACTTATGGTTTCTTAGTGGAAACAAAGTAAGTTGGAAGGCTGCAGCATTAGTGTGTTCATAATAGCATTGTTATTGTTTAAGAACATTGTACCTCATTCCCTATAAGCTCCAAAAATGCTTAAAAATGTGAAATAAGCCTCTACTCGTAATACAGAAGGAAATGAGATTTGGGAACAAGAGGGAAATTTTAGTTTTTATTTATTTATGCATTTATATGTTATTCTGGCAACATTACAAATTCACAATATTTGGAATACTACATCACCACAACTTTGTGACACTTATTTCTATATCCTATAAGCATTCCCATTTCATTAGATTTGTGATTTGACACTTTAGGTATTTAAAATTCAAATTTCATCCATGACTTTTTTTCAACCTTATCTATAGAACTTGCCTTTGAACAATACTTTTAAATCATTATCTAAAAGTTTCCATTGTTAAGATACAGATTTTGATAATTATAAAGCAACATATTTTTAATTATGGAGATCAACTGTTTTTGTTAATCCTTTTCTTGCAATACTTGGTTGAAAGTCTATTTTATTTCTTCACAACTTCTCATCTCTGAAATAATAAAACAGAGAATTCAAGAGTAGATAATAATTAACTTTGAGAAGATTTAAATCAGGACAACTGCAGTATACTTTCATGTATTATTGCTATTTGACAAAGCTTGTGCACAGATTGTCTTAAATTGAGATTATTGAGACTGTGTCAATTTGCATAAGCATGGACCAAATCATTTCAACCAGGTGCTTAAAAGGAACTTTTTAAAATCAGCATATTTTATTTCCTACCTATCACTCAGTGGTTATTTATCCTTTGATAGAAAAGGTAGAGAGCAGAGCCTCTTCAATGAACACTAACCCTACGATTATGATTATAGAATCTTTTCCATTCTAATTGGTTGTAATATAAGTTGGGCGTGGGGGGGGGAGTTGCCTTCAGTCTTTCAATATGTTGTGCTTTTATATGGGTGTTCCAGCTCATCTGGGTGTGAATAACGGCACCAAGCCAACAAAGACGGTAACTAAAGAAGAGAGTAGTAGCAGCGAAGATTCAGATTCATCTTCTGAAGAGGAAGCAGTTGCCAAAAAGACTGTAAGCAAAAAGACTTTGATTATTGCTCTTCTGCTGGAAAATATCAGGACTGTATCTAGGATGATCAATTAGGACTGTACCCAAGAGTCTGTTTATTTTAAACACTATGTTCTTAGAAAATATTTAAAATCTGCTGTCAGGTGCAATCTAGAAAAGTGACTCTTGACTAAATCCTTGCCTGCATTTCAAAAACGAGTCTGTAGATTGCTTTGTCTCAGTTGTTTTTTACAGATAAATTCTGGTGCCTCAGTAGCAAATGATATATTGCTGATCTTGGGATTAAGAAAAAGAAGAAAGTTTACTTGGAAAACGTCTTCAATATGACTTCAGAATGATGTCTTTAATTCGGTTCTGTAAAGTATCAGAACACAGAAAGACACCTACACACAAGGAAAAAGTTCATAATTTTAAAGTATACTGGGTATAGTATACTGAAATATACTAAATTATCTGGGTATCTTCAGCCTTTGCAAGATTTAAGGTATCCAGTTTTTTCCTTAACCCTCACCACTTAAGGGGTGGGTGAGAGGGCTGAAACAGCCTCCTCTGGTGATCACAAAGGGAGTGCCATTGTTGGCCAGATCCCACTTTTATACCCCTAAATAAGGGTGAACATCATTTTGCTATACAGATCTCTATCATGATTGATGGGGAAGCATCTATTACACAAGCTGCTAGGTTCTGCTGGGGACAAGGTATCTCCCCCATGCCCTGTTTCAGATAGTCGTTTTGTGCTCTGTTGAGATGATAGCTCCTGATTGATGTGCTCATCAATTTAGAACTGGGAATGAAGACCGTGGGGTCTCTCCAGAGCACATATTTGGCATGCAATTGTTATTATAAAATCTGAGGGAAAACTTGAGCCAAAAAGTTTCTTTCAACATAGGATATGCTGAAATATCTATACAAATTATTTGACAAATATCATGGAATGTCTTTCTCTTTTAACCAACTTTTCTTGTTGTAGGAGAAAACCCCTGTGGCTGGAAAAAAACCTGAATCGTCCAATCAGAATACTAATTCTGTCCCAGGAAAAGGGGTGACTGTTGCTGCCGCCCAAGCAAAAGGAGAGCAGAACAAAGCTGCTTCAAATAAGGCCCTGACTCCAGCTGCAAGAAAAGCAGGGGCAAATAAAGGCCTTTCTAGTAAAGCAGGACCTCCTTTGCAGTCACGGATTTCAGGCGAACAAAAAACAACACAGACCCCAAAGACAGCAGAGTCCTCTGAAAGCAGCAGCAATAGCAGCTCATCGGAGAGTGAGGAAGAAACAACTTTGACCACAGTAAAAATCCCACCTTCCAAACCAAGTAAGTATATGGCTTAAGATGCTCATTGTGGTATTGCATAGATAGTGCTCTAAATTTGCAGAAGGGTCTCATCTTTATTGTCTTACCGATAACAGGGAAGATCTGCTACAGTAATCTCAGAGTTCTTACTCAAAGCTGAAAAAAAGTTCTAAGCTCACTGTCAAAGAGAACATTCCCATTGCCAGTTACAAAAGTATCTGTAAGATTTCCTTGCCCAAACAGTATCCTTCAGAAAGGCTTGAAAGGGTTACTGGAATTTTTGGAACTAGAATCAGGGAGCCTGCCATAAATGACCTATAGGATGGGTGTTTATGCAGCATAACATCTCTATACTGAGCTGGCAAAAATAAGTTTCTTTTTATGCCAATCCAGATGCTATCTGTAAAGACTGCACTTCAAGAAAAACAGATATTAAGAGTTTTTCTACAAATTTGGGACTCAAAACAACTTCTTGGGCTAAAAGGAAGCTTGTCATGATGGTGTGTGATTTTGTGGCGTCTAACATGTGATCATTGTGTTCTGAATATGTGGATAAGGATTGATGGGTATCTTTGCAGTGTCATAGAAACTTTTTTTTTTGTGCTTCAGCATCTTTTGCAGAGGTAGCAGAACATACCTGTTACAATGCAAGAACCTTAGATGCTGAATCTACTTCTGGTTACTGTGTTTGGTGATGTTAGGAATGGATTGGCCCCACTTCCAAATTTCTAGTTATATTTTAAAACTTGATATGCAGAACAACAAAGATGACTATAGGATAATGGGATATCCTATAATTTAGTATTGGTAGCTATAAATGCTGAATATTTTTAAAAAGTTATCTCCTTTGGCATCAAATCCTCTTTTCTATATTTTAGCTTTAAAGAAGGCGGTGAGCACAAACAAGGATTCAAGTGATGATTCTGACTCTGAAGATGAGACAAAAGCACCAACCGTCCAAGTAACTCTAGTTAACAGTTTTCTAAATTAGTGGAAGGGTGATTCCTTTTTGTCTGTGCTTCAAGCTGCTAAATAATTCACTCACTCGACAAAGGCAGAACAGGAAAGTGCCTTTGAGAAAAAAAATCCCCTTTGCTTCTCCGCATTAGGCTATTTCCAAAGGGGAGGATATATTGAGGAAAATTTATAGGATTCATGCATCAGCTCCATTAGGTCAACCTCCAGGCACTGCTCATTTGTTTAGTGAGAATTTTTGTCCTCAGAAGATGCTCAGAGAAGACATTACAAGCCCAAGAAAATAGAAATGGGGGGATATACTGGTCCCCTAATGACCAGTAAATACTGTAGAGCTAATTAAAATATGCACTCAAGTTTGACAGGGTTCTAAATTAAATGAACCTGCCCCCATTATTTGAATTTCTTGCCACATCGCTACATTTTTTGTCTTAAGAAAACCTGAGATGTTGGGATAGAGCTTTCCAACCTCTGCTCTTGTGTCAGACAATAGCTCTTATGCTTGGATACTTTCAGAGGAATTGTTTTGTCCCATTTCTTCCATGTGCATTTTTGAATCGACAACAGCATTATCTCCAGTGCTAAAGTCTGAATTGGCACATGAGGACTTTGTTCCAAGAATGGGGAAAGGAATACATTATAAGCTATTCTCCTACTTCTATAAAGGAGGAAAGTGGACATCAGGATGGTTATGAGAATGTGAAATCAAAATTGTAAGCAGAACGTAATTCCTATTGCAATAATGGAAGAGCAGGCAGGCTAGCATTGATTATTATAGCCAAGTTTAGCATCTCACTTTGAAGAGAAGTGATATGATTTTGTTTGACTGAGGAGGAAATAGGATTGATTTATCTCTGTAACTTTTGACATGTAAGCCATGGGCAGGTTCAGTTTTCCTTTTCTACCTCCCTCCCCAATCATAATTACTTTACATTTCCTTTTTCTTCCCCTCCAGGCTCCAAATTGCTTTTCTCAAGAGGCTCTGTTGCGAAGCTGATCCTCCTCATTTCCTTCTCCTAGTGGGAAAGGAGAAACTCCTGCCCAAAGGGGTTCCAGGAAATGCAAGAGAACCATACCGACCTTTTGCTTCCTTTGTCCTAAACCTACATAGTGGATATAGAGTCCTCTACTTTATCTCCTTCAAATTAGAGCAATAGATTAGACTTGATAGAATGATGTTACTCAGTGGATCAAGGATTAATCCTTCTCTTGTCCCAACTTGACTATTCCAATGCATTAGCTAGAGCAAGGGTCTTCAAACTTGGCAAATTTAAGACTTGTGGACTTCAACTCCCAGAATTCCTGAGCTAACATGACTGGAGGAGGAATTCTGGGAGTTGAAGTCCACAAGTCTTAAAGCTGTCAAGTTTGAAGACTCCTGAGCTAGAATATGCACCTTTAGTAGCCAATATCTATGCTATTCACTCCGCCCTGCGATACAAGCAACATTTTTTTTATCTTTCCTTCTAGATTAAAGCAGCTGTGCAAAATTCCCTGATCAGTAGCCCACTGCTGAACAAGTTGCCAGTCACTCCTGGCTCTTGTGCAAGAAATACAGTAAAGGTAACAACAGCAAAGCCAGCCAGTGCAAAATCTGGAAATGCAAACAGAAGCCCAGAATCAACAGATACTTCAGAAACTACTGACTCATTGGATAATGAAACTAAAGCACCTGCTTCAGTATCACAGGTGAGATGCATTAGTAAAGTTGGCTAAGACACTGATTCCAACATCTGAAGTCAATAGATACAAAACGTAAGAAAGGAAAACAGCTTGAAACTGGTCAGTCTAATCAAGTGTCTGGAAATCTGATGCATAGGAATTATTGGGCAAATACTATCTCATTACCAACTATTCCTATGGAATCTAAAGAGCTGTGAGAGCTGATTTATAATTTGGAGAGATAAGAATGTCATAGTGACAACAAGGTTCTCCCTTTGGTATGATAGATTGAAATTGGAATATAAAGTAGCCAAGTGTTTAATTAACATAACCGTCTGTAAATTTCACCAGACTTTATGATTACAGACAATGCCGACAAAGATAATTTTTTTCACTTGCTGCTGAACAAAGATGTCACCCTTATGGCTGTTTTCAGGCTGTGAATTTACCAGATTATCTTTTACCCTGCCCATACAGCATGTGTGTTCTGTAGGTATATACACACAAAATACATACACCAAGAAGTTACATTTTTATTTAAATTTTTGCATTGCTCTGTATTTAAAAATGAAGTTCAGGGAAAAGAAGTTGACACAGCTTCAGAACAATTTAATATGCTTCCCAAGCCTTCTCAAGATCTATTACACCAGGATGTCTTGGACAGGTTCAGGAACTTTGACTTTATACCATTTCTCTCATCTCTTAACAATAGTTAAAATTATCTCAAAAAAATCCTCAGGCCTTCAAAACAGCAGCAAAAAATGCAGCATCAAGCCCATTGAAGAAGACAGTTTCTGCTTCTGTTCCATCAAAATCCACGCAGAAGGCCCCCACGACCAGCTTATCAAAGCCACCACCCCCTTCAAAAGAAGTCCAGAGCTCAGACAGCAGTGATTCCTCATCTGAGAGTGATAGTGAGATTCCGCCGGTTCCCATAAGTCAGAAGGTTGGTGTTTTCCCTTCAAAACTCTGGGAAAGGTGGTCTTTGTTTTTACATGAGCTAGCCATTATAAGATGATTTGCTTATTTTTTAATAAGACATTTACAGCCCTTCCAGGTAGCATTTCTGGAGAGTATAACAAAATAAAACAATATGAATGCTAAACAGGCAATTCAGGGTCACTTTTAAATACCAGTTCTGTTTGTTACCCTTTGTTATGCATGTACAGTATATATAGTATAATTCTATTCTTACCCTTGAACTTCTTGAAGCATTTGGTAAATTGTGTAGACAAAATAGTTATTTTTCTTTATTTAAATTGTCTAATATTGTGTACTTACAAAGTTAAGGGGAAAGAAATTGTTCTGACAGAGTTTCAGAACAATTTAACCTATTTCCCAAGCCTTTGTTTTGATTTATTACACCAGAATGTCTTATTCAAGTTCATGAACTCTAATTTATACCATTTTTCTAATATCTAACCATAGTTAAAATTGTCTCAAAAAAAAATAAATCCTCAGGCCTTAAAAACAACAGAGAAAAACGCAGCATCAAGTCCATTAAAGAAGGCAGTTTCTGCTTCAATTACACCAAAATCCTCTCAGAAGACTCCCACAACCAGCTTATCAAAGCCTCCTGCAAAAGAAGCCCAGAGCTCAGACAGCAGCGACTCATCATCTGAGAGTGAGAGTGAGACTTTGCCCGTTCCCATAAGTCAGAAGGTTGGTGTTTTTCCTCTAGGAACGGTGGTCTTTGTTTTTGCATGAGCCAGCCATTGTAAGATGATTTGCTTATTTTTAATAAGGCTTTTACAGCTTGCCAGGGTAGCTTCTTTGGATGGTGTTAAAAAAAACATGAATAGTAACCTGCTAAAATATAGTAACAAGCCAAAAATGTCATAATTCAGATAAAATGGTCATCCCCCGTTTCCACAACTGGACATCAGAATCGTCAGGTTTTGAATGACTTCCTAAAAATATAAAAAGGGGTGAAAACAACTTTTATATTCCATAGACTCTGACCAAAAATATGGCAGGCTTCTGGTCCATGAGTCTTTTAGCTCTCATGTCAGTGATTTTTAAGCAGGCTTCCTCTAGAGCAGAGGTGAGGAACAATGGCCCTTTAATGACTTGTGGACTTCAACTCCCAGAATTCCTGAGCCAGCATAGCATAGGAATTCTGGGAATTGAAGTCCACAAGTGATAAAGGTTCCATCATTCCCCACTTCTACTCTAGATAATCAAATAGAATAATTTCGCACACAATGGTCCTTTCTTTGCCAGTGTGTGTACCCTACATCTTAAAGCAATATAGTTCTAGCTCTCTCCATTGGCATCTTGGAAGCCTAGTATACAGTATACCTATTATCTGACCCGTCTTCCATCTGTAAAATGTTGGTTTCTATCTCTTGCTGCACCTTCCTGACTTTTCCCTTCAACGAGATAAGTCTGTCATTCTCCATAGCACTGCGTTTGTACCCTTCCCAGTAGAAGGTAAATGGATACGTTCCTTTCCGAATGATTCACATATGTCTCCTGTGGTTACTCCACTGTGAGCACCATGGGAGCCCGCAGAACCGGGTCTTCAAACTCTTTTGAAAGATAAGGAGAAAATACATATTATGAATGAAAGATTTGTATAAAAGCAGGCACCTACGTCATCCCAACATATCCGTTCAGTTAGTACAGTTAGGGTAGTTACATTGATTTGGAAAAAAATAGGCCAAAAATAAAAAAATTGTGCATATCAACTGACTAGTAATAACACAAACATCCAAATTATTGGAATTGAAGACTTACAAAGGGGGAAGAAAGAAAGAAAAAGATCCATTTAGATAACTCCTTTCCCCTTTTAAAAGAACATGCCTTTCCTCGCCAGCAATTGTCAGGTGTGTTTTGCACAATATTTTACACCGTCTTACAATATTCATTGTTGTCACACAGAGGAATAAGAAAGAAAGAACTGCTGTTAGAGATCTAGCAGCCTCAGTATTGTCCTGTTTAACAGATGAAAGCTGCTCAGAAAATGATTTCTTTTCTTGCCTCATTTCTTTGTTATTCTCCCCAGAGTTCTTAAAAATACAAGAGACCAGATGCTGAGTTTTTTGAAAAGACAGCTTTGATTTAGCTTCCTCTGGGAGGCTTTGAAGTCTGGTGTAATTCAGGCAACTGTAGCTTGTATTGCTCACCGCTGCGTGGCTTCCTTCTAGGGCAATTGAATGGCCAGTTTTCTTTTGTAAAAGTAGTGCTTTATCCCCCTTCTTCTTTTCAAAATAAACTCAATTGCAAATACATCTCCATGAGGATGTAATGTTTATACCATGGGCATGGTCCACCTTTAGTACTAGCAAGACCAAAGGATTTCAAATCGGGAATTTGTTGTGTGTCATTCAAGAAGCAGTTGATCTACAAATTAACCAATTTAAATGTTAATCATTCATTTGTTGTTTGTTTATAAATTTCATTGGCAGCCCACAAAGTAACTCTGGGTAGCTTACAATCTTAACAGACTAAAAACTATACAAAGCTGAGACATTTATAAAATACTATGAAATGCATTTTTTTTAATTAAAAATGAACTTTATTAAAGATTAAAAAGAACACTATGTACATTACATAGAATACAACATTTCTTTGCAAACAAAATCAATATACAGATACATAACAAACATAAAAAACATATGTTTCTATGTGGTCTTTTATTGAAAACAATTTTACTACTATTCATTTCCTATTTTTGGTAGATGTTCTTAATCTAATCACTCCATTTTTGAAATCCTTATCTTTTAATTCCCTAATCCACTTGTACCATTTTTCCCAAATTGTAGTTTATCTTGAGTTTTCCTTATCCCTAAGTTTTTGTGTAAGTAGGTCCATTTCAGCGCAATCAAGAACTTTCTGAATAATCAAATTATTTGTTGGCATTTGGTCGCCCTTCCAACAATGTGCCAACGCAATTCTTGCCGCCGTGATTATATGGAGAATTAAATATTTCATTTCTTTTGCATAATTAAATATTTCATTTCTTTTGCATAATCCCCTTTTAACATTCCTAACAAAAATATTTCAGCCTTAAATTTTAGTTGGATACTTGTGATTTCTTTTATCCACAATCTAATTCTTTTCCAGTATTTTTTACTTTTTGGGCAGAGCCACCAAGTGTGGAAGAAGGTACCCCTCATTTGCTTACATTTCCAGCAAATCGGACTTAAGTTTGGGTACATGTTAGCTAACCTTGAGGGTGCCAGATACCACTGGTAACACACACATTTTATATTGATTTTCTTTATAGACAGCCGATTTTGTTATTTTGTAATTTTGATTTCAATTTTTTCCCCAGTTTTCCAAATTAATGTTGTGCCCTATATTCCTTGCCCATGCAATCATTGGGCCTTTAACTATTTCTTCCACCATTTTGAATTCTAACAAGTAATTATACATTTTAGAAATTAATTTTTCATCCATTCCCCCCAATATTTCATCTAATTGGTTCAGTTTTGCCTCAATTCCAAATTCTTCCATGTCTTTTTTATACCTTGTCTTGAGTTGTAAATATGGCCACTGCTCTATTTTATGAAATGTATTTTACTGTAAATAAAATGTTACAAGAAAAAAAATCTGACATTTAAAGATATTTAAGAAGCCTGGCAGGCAGATTAAGTTTTTGTATCTGTTTCAGGCTATGCAGGTAATCCTCGGGTTACAATTCATAATTGGGACCAGAAATTTCTATCACTAAGTGAAGCAGTAGTTAAGCAAAGTGTTGCACTTAGCCACGGCAGTCCCAGTTGTGGTCATTGCTATTGGGAATACATTGTTTTGATTCTGTTAGAAATTAAAGAGGGAAGAAAAGGTGTATGAGAAATCAATGAATTTTACATGTATGTCTGCTTGTTTTTTCCCCTCATGGTGCAGAGATTGTCAACACCACGCCCTTCTGTGAAGGCCAGACAAAACCAGGCCAATCAGCCTGAGATCTTACCCAAAGCTGTACCAGGTGTTTTGAAGGAGAAGGAAGCACAGAATGAAAGCAGCACCTCCTCTGACAGTGAGGATGAAACTGACCTTACACCATGCAAACTGCCAGCTCCATCTAGTAAGAGAAGGCTCCAGTCTTGTTGGTGCTCAGGGGAAAAACCTTTTATTTTCAGCAGCTCTATTAGTTTATTTGCTTAGCTGCTTGACAGGGAAAGGACAGAAATAACAAGGGGATGCACAAAATGCATTCTGAAGTGCTAGCACTGATGCCAGTTATTTCAAAACTAACACAAGAGATATGTTAGCATCTTCAATTTTGCCTTTAGCCTATAGTTTCAGTGTGTTTCATCAATTAACTGATGTTCCCTTTATTTTGAAGGAAATTGGATCTTCTTGTCCTTTGTGGTGTTGCCAAACCCTGATTAATTTCTGAACAATGAGTTTTTCTAAAGATGAAAGAAAACCAGTAATAAACAGATTCATGATTCTGGATTATTCACAACAGAAAGCAATTGATGCCTCTTAATCTGGTTAATTTAATTTTTTTTTTCTTATGAAAAAGCCCTAGCAAGGCCAAGCATAGTTGTTTGGTGATTTAAACCATCACCGTTTTTTGGCTTATTTTCCTCCATCATCTGTAGGCAGTAATTTCATCTGTTAGACTGAAACGGTACAGATTTTTTTAAACTGCATTAAAGATAAAGTTTCTACTTTTATTTGCAATTTTCCCCACCATATTGTACACAGATTTTGTACAAAACTTCCCTTTCTTAATATAAACTTCAGAAATATTTTTAACTTTAACTGTTCTCATTGTTACTTTTCTGTGCAAATTCTTCTTTTAAACCTGTGCCCTATTTTACAAACACCTGAAAACATACATTTTTTTCTCAAGTGTATCTCAGAAATAGTTTCTTGTGTGGTTTTGCCTAAAGAAATACAGAGTTTAGCAAATTGTGTTCAGTGTTTCTATCAGGGCTACAGCAGTTGACAGATCTCATAAATTTGTTCTCCCAGAAATCTATGAAAAATATGTTACAGCTGTAACCAGTGTTTTGAGTTGTTAATAACTATGAGAGATGATGACACGTGGTACTTCAAAAAAATTGACTAAGGAATTCAAAACATCTTTAGAATATTTTTTAAACAAATCTGATTTTCTTGTAGCTTAAAGTCTCTCTTCACCAGTTCCTTTGTGTAGTAGTTTTGGCACACAGCTTTTAGAACTGCAGCAGTTTTCAGTGGTGTGTATTTTGAAATTTTAAACTAAAGGCATCTTCCTGCAGTTAGCTTTTTTAATTGTTATAGTGCTATGTACAAGCTACTTCTCAACTTACAACTCAAAACTGAGCCCAAAATTTCTGATGAGCAAGACAGTTGTAAAAGGTATCCCATTTTTTGCAACCTTTTTGCTGCAGTTGTTAAATGAATCATTGCCGTTGTTAAGTGAATCAGATTGTTAAGCGAATTTGGCTTCTCCCATTCACTGTTTGTTGGAAGTCTGTGGGGAAGGTTAAATCATGTGACCCTGGGACAGTGCACCTTTCATAAATAAATACCAGTTGCCAAGCATGAAATTTTGATCATGAGGCTGCAACAGTGGTAAATATGAAAAAAAAAACACCAGTCCTAAGTCACTTGTTTCAGTGCCATCTAAACGGTCACTAAACAAATGATTGTAAATCTAGAACCACCTCAAATTTGTTTATTGAAAAACTTGCAGCATCCATAGTCATCCCCACTCTTATGGTAACTGGCTTCACAATGAGGAAAATACCTTGTCTGTCATAACCAAGTAATTGCTAACAAGATTTATTGAATGTCAATGCTGTAAATTGAAATTACACACAGTTCTAGCCTTTTTGTCCCAAAACTGGCTTGGGGGAAAAAAAACCCAGCGTGACTGATTTTGGTGTTGTTGTTTTTTGGGAAATTGTGGATTGTTTCACAAAATAATTTTTTGAGGAACACAATGGCTGTTCCTAAGATGTGTGGTTTGGGGGGGGGGCGTTCATAGCATGCCAAGAAAATGCAGATATCAGAATGTATCATGTCTTGAAATCATCATTGCTTGAGCTGCCTGGTCAAACATTTGAGAGAAAACCACTGAGAATTGATGCATCTTTGGAGCTCTTGGTGAAAGTCAGCAAAGACAAAGAACAAAGTGAGGCTGTGGCTTCTAATTGTGCAGCCTTTTAGAAGTAGCTGAGTTTTCACTTTTCTGTATCATGCTTGCTTTCAGCCCCCAAAGCAACTCCTGCAGCTAATAGTGTATGTACAGTGAAGCCCCAGCCTCCAAAGGAATTGCCTCAGAAAGCCCAGCGGAGCGATGATAGTAGTGAAGATTCAAGTGATGACTCTGATTCGGAGGAAGATAGAGTGGCTGCTCAGGTAACCATAGAGAAATCTCTGGAAGGGGAAATTCTGTGCCCTACCTTTTTTTTTTTTTTTTGCAAAACCCAATGGAGGGATTTTGGTTTGGTTTTTTTTTTCCGTTTGTTTAGGCTGTGAATGTTCTGGCATTGTTTGTAATTGGTTGTTTTATCAGTAAGAAGGAAAACAAGGGGCTGAAAGGGTGCTTTCTACCTCAGGAATGAAATTATGAATGAATGAATAAAGATGCAGATAGAGTATTTGGTTAATTTTATTATTGCATCATCATTGTACAAAAGTGGGCAATTATGTGATGTAAGAAGATGTGTGATTAAAAATACTACAATTAATTCCACAATTATCGCTCAGTACCACTGCTTTGTTACTTAGAAAGCATGTCTATTTTTAAAAAATATGTCGGATGTATACATTTATATGTTGTTGTCCCAGGTGATGAATATGAAGGGTGCATGGGAACACACACAACTAAAATCTAGTGTTTAGAATTGATCAGGAGAAGTAAACTTGAAAGACTATTTTGTGTGACAATTAAAAAAAGAGTCAGGATTGTAGATAGAAATATAACATTGGACTGTAAAATCAGTCTAGTGCGTATTTACTTTGAAATAAGCCCCATTGAGTTTAATGAGTGAGCCATCTGGGGAAAGCAAATGCAGTTGGTGATTAATTGCTACTGATTATGAACACCTTAAAAATATCAATTGCATGGAGTTCAGGAGAAGCTATAGGGTTGTATTCTGAGAATCTCTTCTTTCTGTGTTTTGACACAGTGAGATGATTTTATGTACTCAGGGCCAAAAACTGACATTTTTTAGGGACATGGATCTGAAATATGTCACACAAATTCTATTCCATTACTTAAATTTACTTTTGTTATTCTGAATCGCTGAAGATTTGCAAAGTCTCAGCAAAGGGAATATGGGCAGCTGGAAACATTTGTATACAATTAGATGTGCTCTAAACCAAAAAGAAACCTCCTGATCTGCCATATATACAGTAGCTGGAAGCCCATCTGTGCACACTTGCTTAATATTTGTAGTTTCTCCTGCCTTTTTTTGATGATAGAAACGAGAAATTCTGCAGGGCACTCTTGTTTTGTAGCTCCTCAGTGTTGGTCCTCAGATTAGAAATTTACAGTATTTTTGTTGAAAGAAGAAAAGACTGAATTTATGTTTTATGCATTGAGGGATTAAAAAGGGTCAGTGAAGAAAAGGAAAGAATAAGATGGCAATTAATATAAACCATAATTCTATGTTGCTTCATTTCATGTTTTTAACTTTTTCTTATTTTAATTATTTTAATTTTTATACCTCTATTGTATTGGAAAAAATCTATTTTTTTAAAAAATGTTAGTGCTTAAAACTTGAGCTCTGCAGTTTCTTCCAGATAGATCCTGAAATTTCCCCAAGTACTTCACTTTGTTCCACTTATTTTTATTACCTTAAGAGGCTAGAATCTGATTTTGTAGGAAAAAAATAGGTAATAGCCAGCTTTTTCTCTAGAGTGCTATAATTTGTTTTCAGTGCGGTTCAAATATAGCAACCCAAACTCAAATAGCAAAAGAAGTAAATAAAATAAAAATGTACTACCCTTAAAAGTAGGAGCTTGTAGCTAAATGAAGGCCGAAGAAAATCAGCCTATAGCTCTGTTGACAACACACGATCAGTATCTGTCGACAAACACAGTCCCATTACTGAATGCCATGCATTTCCCCCAGACAAATCCCTCTTTAACACTCTTGATTCGTAGATTGGATTCCAGTTCCAGCTCCAGGAAGACAATAAAATCACTACAAGGCTCTTTGAATAAGCTTGTCCTCAAGGCAAAACAAAAATTCTTCCCTCACAAAGGATTCCCATATTTTGAGAGGGAAATGTGATCCCCTTTCCTACCCTGTCTCTTGTTGTATATCTCTCCACCTGACAAAAAGGGCAAAATTGAGATTGCCCCTTTCCAACAATGAAATGTTGTTTGTGCTAAAGGGAACATAGTTCTTTTATGGCACATTTTAAAAATAGCCTTCAGATTGCTGACATTAAGTCCTAATCAACATCCTAAATATTTATAAATCAACCACACACCACACCCCCATACTTTTTTCCGTTCTTTCAGGTGAATTAGGGAGATGCTTGGAAATTATAGGGCAGAGCAAGGCAGATGAAGTTGCAATCTTAGTTTTTCCCACACACCTTTCCGTTTTTTTTTTAAAAAAAATTTTTTTATTAATTTTTAAAAACAATACACAAACAAAACGTAGAATATAGTAGCATAGAACATCTTTTCTGAAAAACAAATAAAACAACTTATTTAAAGACAGGATAATTCTAAATTATCACATTTCCATACAAGCACAGTTTAATATATATATTTATCTTATCTGTTCAGCTTCATATCTTTTCCCAACTTCTCTTTATTTCTCCCTTTCCTTCTATTCAATTATATTTCTATTGCCTTGAATTGTATATATTCATTGTATCCATCTGTGTTATACAATTTCGTTATTCTCTTCCAACATTCTTCTAGCATTTTATTAATTCAAACATAGACAAACAAAACACAAAACATAAATACATAAAACTTCTTTTTGGAAAGCGGCTTACCCCGGGTTACATCTTTTTGTACAGGCATAAATCAAATTCATGCTCACTTAATATACTATTTCATATCTTATTTAACATTCTATATTTTCTATATATTTTCTCTCTTCATTCACTCTCTTAATTCTATTTTATTTATTTCATCTCAATTTAGATAATTCTACTTGCATCTTTTGTCCGTTCTCTTTCAATTATCTATCTTTTCTTTCTAATACAATATTTCTCCTGTAATCACTGGTTGAAGTATGACAAACTTTATCTTTCCCCTAAATTTAACACTTAAAATAATACATACTTTCCATACTGATTCTGCTTAGTACATTCTAAGTATTACATTTTAGAATAATAAAACAAAAGAGAGAGAATTAAGTTTATAAGATAGTAAAAACAGTATTCCATAGAAAGTTAAACTCTATTGTTAAATCTTAAACATTTTTATACATTCCCTTTAATGCATTATTAATTCATATAATATTTCAGTTTTCTAACTCAATTTCAAATACTAATATCTACAATACAATCTTATGTACTTTTGCAGAATCATTTTTTAAATTATAATTTACCCTTTGTCTCTGAAAAAAACCTGTTTTTTAACATCTTGTTTTAAACCTTTATGACTTCTCTTTCCTTTTTCCCTTCCTTTCTTATCAATTCTAGCCTTTTTGACCCCTCATCTCTCAAACTCCCCTCTCTTAATCTTCTCTCTCTGTTGTATTTCTCTTTTCTGTTGCTTTCTGACATTGTATTGATTTTCCATCTTATTTTTCCCTTTCTTGGTTGCTTTTTTAAGTTCTAAATTCTCCATTTTCTTTTCCCCCTTTCTCTTTTCTTCCTCAAGTAAGATTGTCTGTCCATTAAAGATGGCTTCTTCTCCTTCATCCCAGCCTTCTTGTTGTTGTATTTCTTGGTAGGTAGAAATCGCCATTTCTAAAAAGTGAAAAATAGATCCAGAAGAGCCCTTGCCTTCTTGTTCCTCTTCTTTTAGCTTTTGAAATTCCATTTGCAATTCCTCAACAGATAATGCCATTTTTTTTCTTAAGAACAACCCAAATGTTTTTAATCTTTCAAGAAATAGTTCCCAAAAATCCCAAAGTCACAGAGCAATCCAAATCAAAACAAATTGTTTCATTTAGCACTTTCTTCTTTTTATATTTTCTCTTCCTGGGGTAGAGTTCAATTACACAGTTCCAAAGTATTTTTTTAGAAGTCCTTATTGCCTGTTATTTCTGGTCTTATAAACTCCAAGCAGTCTCCTTCAGTACAATCTTAAAATAAGTTCTTTACCTCTTCCCTCCCACTTATAGCAAAAAAGGTTTTAGTTTTTAATTCCAATGTTCAGAAATCTTTTATCCCCTTGGCTTTAAATTTCAGATTTAGTTACCTTCTGTGCCCAAGCAGGTTTTTCCGATTTCCATCAGTTATTTCCACGGGGAGGGAGAGTGAGAGAAAGTAACTTTCCCTTTCAATTTTCTTCCGCCGCTTTCCAGTCTTCTTAGGAAACAATGTATCATTCAAGCAATTAAAATTCCAGGGTGTTTAAAAGTTCCTTATTGTCCCGGTTCAGCCAAAAAACTTTCTCTTTCTCCAGCTTCCTCCTGCACAATCTTACCCAGCTGCAGGCTTCTTTGTGGCGGCCATTGCTGACCGCTGCTCCACCGCCTTGGGAAAAAGGAGTTTAGCCGGCTGAGGAGTGGGTTTGTGATACCCCCAAACCCCTATCCGGATCTCCTCTATCTTCAGTTGCCTCTATGGGGCAACCATATCCTCCAGATCCAGCTGGATCGGAGACACTTCGGCGGCGAGCACAGCAGGAACCACACATGATCGCGGATTCCTGCCGCCGCCGAAGCTTTGCAAACTCCACACACCTTTCCTTTTAATAAAAGGAAGATTGGCTGAAACAAGATAGCGAACTGCTTAGTGGTAATGGGGCTCCTGCAATGGAGGTTGCATGTAAACAAAGTCTGTTGGTATCTTGGAAAATACAAATGTGTAGACACACTGGGGGTATTTTTTCCAGAAAGCGAAATGAAGGTTGACATTTGCAGATTGAACACCATCTTGGAAGCTAATGTAGAAGCAGACTACAGCTTTTATAAGATTCCCTTGTTTTGAAGCAGACCCATAAGTGAATTGACACCAGGACAAACAAAGGAATGCCTGCTCAAATTTTTGCCTGTCCATGTTTTAGGCCATTTTCTGTTTCTACAGAGCTACGACCAGATGGGAGCAGCCTGTGTATTGAAAGCTGCCACAACCTAATTCCTATACTTACCAAGCCTCTAGAGAAGAATTGAAGGAACTAGTGATAGTGGTTACGCAACTGATTGATGATGTGTCATCAAATCAGTATCAACTCTTAGCAGCCACATAGATCTTCTCTGACAGTCTGTTCCTAACCTGTTCTTTCAGATCTTTCAATAATGTGCCCATTGCCACCGTACCTTGAGTCCATTCACATTGTTGCAAGTCACCTTCACTTACCTTTCCCAGCATTAAATGCTGTTCCTAAGAGCTAGGTCATCACATACTGTACCAAAGTAGGATAATTTGAGCCTGATCACGTGTGCAGTGATCTGTTTGTTTTCTTTACTGTCTGCAGTGTCCTCAGAAATCTTCTCTAACACCAAACTTCAAAAACACCAGTATTCTTCCTATTCTGAAAAAAATCTTATTTTTCAAAATCCAACTTGTGCTTCCCTAGAGTATCACAGGGAATACTAAGGTTTGCATGATTCTAATCTTTGTAGAGATAGCTACGCATAACATTTCAATATCTTTTCCAAGACTTTCATGGCTGCTCTACCAAGTACTAGTCTGTTGCATATTTCTTGAGTGCTTGCTCCTTTATTGGTTGATCCTAAAAGGTGGAAGCTATCCACCACTTCAGTATCTTCATTGCCAATTCTGAGGTGGCTATTCTCCATGTTCAGTCAACTGAAATACTGATTTAATTCCCTTGAATCAGAAATTAGTCCATAGTCTAATTCTGCAATACTTTATTTCCATAGAAACCAGCTCAGGTAACACATAAACCTGGTACCAATCACGTGAAAAGTGTGACAGCCAAGAATGCAGGGCTCACATCAAGCAAACCTCAGCCAGCAGGGAAAGGGGGGAGAACCTCAACAACAGCAGGAACTGTCCCTGTTCCAAAAGCCTCTGAGAGCTCAGAGAGCAGCAGCTCCGATTCTTCAGATAGCAAAGAAGCTGAGAAGCCAGCAAAGCAGGTAAAAGGAGAGGTCATTCTTGCATACAAGAAGCCACTCTTCACGGATGTTGTTCTCAGGATAGATAAGATACTATAAGTGAAGCCACACAGGTCAGGCTAATCTTACAGGTTCTCTTATTGGAACCGGGTGTGTGTGTGTGTGTTAACATCATGACATTGTTGGAGTGGGCAATCTAGTGGTTCATTTATTTTATTTTTTTGCAGCGCAGATAATGTAGAAATTCTTTATGTAAATTTTGGAATGGCTAATTGCATTAAAGATAAACTGTTTTATCTCCAAGGGTATTTTGTGTATGTATTGAACTTCTGTGAAACTGTCAACAATAGAAACTGGAGCATCCTGAGCAGACCTGCATAGTCTATGGTTGATGGCAATATAGTATTGGTTTTGTTTCCGACCAAATGTCTGTTATTTCTGAGAAGATACACATTTTATCCCTTAGCCATACACGATTTTTAAATGCATTTCCGGTTATGTTTATTTTCCCCACTACAGCCTCCTATTCACCCTTTTTTTAAGCTGGTGGCTGGAAAAGCAGCCAGTTCTTCAGGAAAGCTTGTACAGACCAACTTAAATACACCCAATGCTGCTTCCACCAAACCCCAGGGATCTGCCACAAAAGCAACAGGGAAAGAAGAACAAATTGCCTCTCCCAAGGTTAAACCAAGCCAGGGACAGGCTCTGACTGCTACGCCCTCTGGAATCACTAAACATAAGGAGAGCTCCTCAGACAGTTCCTCGGACAGCAGTGAGGAAGAAGCAGAAGCTTCGACAACAGCCAAACCTCAGGCGCAGCCTGGTAAGAGAAGCTACAGTCCACTAGGGGCGGGTGGCAGGATAATCTCTTCAGAAACACTTGAAGTTTGGAAGCCCAGTGAAGAGTAGATACCATATTTGGAAGCACAGTTTGTTATGCACATAAGATGGCATTACCCACCCAATGCAGCTTGCTCCTAAAATAAATAAAAAAATGTTGCCCACTTGAGGCATATTTATGTGAAAATCACACCTCTGCATTTGCTTTTAGTTTTTTTAAAAATATATATTGAGCTTCTGAAATTCTTTCCTTTCTTGAAGTGTTCCTCCACTTCAGCCTCCCCCAGTCTTGGGATATTTTGGGTGCAAACACTTGGGCATAACAGTTTATCGTGTGTGTGTGTGTGTGTGTGTGTGTGTGTGTGTACATATGTTTGAAAGTTTTAATAACAATAGTAAAAGAAAATGCAAGCTAAACTCAGAAAGAAGAGAAAGAAGAAGAAAAAAAAGGTGTACAGTAAAAAGAAAGGAAAAGGAAAAAATGAATATAAAAAGGTAGTTTCATCACAAGTACAAACTTAATATATCCCGTTATCATATGCAAATATCTCTTCTTCCCATATCCCATCCCTTAGTCATACACAAATATATAAATCGTTAACATTTCAGTCGTAGTGTCAGCAAGAAGTCCATAAAGGGATCCCAGATTTATGCAAACATGTCTTATTTTAACCTTGATCAGTGTCCTTTAAAAGGCTCTGCAGTTGGGAGCATGACGGTTCCCTTTGTCTCCCAGTCCTCAAACTCAGGGGAAATCACTGTCTTTTGGTTTCCTTGTGAAGAGCAGTCACCTGGAGCACAAGTGGGCCATCTTCTATCCTCTCCTTATCCAGAGAAGTTCCATGAGACCGGTCTCCTCACCGATCCTTGGCTCTTAGCTGTGGTTGTCATCTCCGCTCATTCGCAAATATTTTAGCTTGCCATTCATCACCCAGAAGAAGCCTACTGATTCCTCAGATAGAGTCCCACAATAGTTCATGTATCTGAACATTTAAATCACCAGCATCAACAAGTCTGATTCAGACTAACATTGCAGTTCTCCGTTGTTGACATTTGTTACTGTAATTGTTCTTGTGAAAGACATGACGGTGTGATTGAAATAGGAATTCTGGAAGTAACTTGTTTGGAGAATTGCCTGGAGTAGTTTCAGAACTGCTGCAAGGACCTTTTCATTGCATAAGATAAAGGTAATTCCCATCCCCTGCAATTCCCATCTCGTGAACTTCCATGAAGCCTTTATAATAAGCAAAGCTAAAAATCTTAGAGTCTCCCTGTGTAACTGGACAATGAACATAAATCTTAATTTGATTTGACCTTCCCAGTTCCCACACTCTTTATGTCACAGCAGTTTTTAGTTTTCCAAGGACTCTGATGTCTGTTTGCTTTTTGCAGCCACCCAGCAGAAACAAGAGGCAAAAAAAGAGTCAGAGAGCTCATCTGAGGAGTCCAGTGATGAAGAACAAGAAGCTTCTCAGGTATTTTTTTCATGATCTCGTGTATAAGTCCACTTAGCATTGTTGGATATTTTGTCTTATCTTACAGAGAGGGAAGGGAGGCAGAAAGCATGCAAACTAGGCACCCGAAGATGGAGGAAGTAGTCATTAGGAAAGAATATGATCCAAGTTGTCAGGCGGATCTGTTGTGCTGGTGAATCCAGTGGGCTTGAGATTCAGGTTGAACAGCCTGGCCCAGTGGAGAAGGTCAGGATTTTGTACTGGTGTTGTTGGGAAAGGCCTGTAGCCAGACATCAATCCTGGAAGAAGGCAGTCCTGATGAAAGGCCTGGCAATCAGATCAGGTCTGGGACCTGGCAAGTGGCTTAACCAAGTTGAAGAGTTGCACTTACAGGGGATGCTAGGGAAAGCAGCAGCTGGTCACATATGGATGGAGGGCCAAGTGTGGCAGCAAAGCCAAGAGCAGGGACCGTCCCAGAGCATACAAACACCAAGGAGAGGGAAACTTGCAAGGAAGAATGTCAGAGCAGCCAGAAGGGAGTTGAGGTGGATCCCTGGGAAGGAAAGAAACCTGGAAGGAAAGGAAAGCGCTGAGAGACACAGAGATGAATTAGGGGCTTACATAGACTGAAACTGAAGCCTCCCAAGGTCTTGAAAACCCTGTCCCAGTGCTAATAATAGGTAACAGTAAAAGCAGTGCCCCAACCAGCAGATATCTCATCTATGGAGAGCTGGTTGATGGGACTGATATCAATAGCACTAAGAGAATTGACAAACTAGAATAGGATGCGTAGAAAGAAAATCTAAAGGAAAGAAAAGGTCAGGAAAGGATATTTAGGATCTACAGATAGGGGGATAAGAATGGAGGTAATCAGAACTTAACTAAAGCATAATAATAGCAGGGAATAGGACAGAAATTGTAGAAGATGGGAACAGCCATGAAGGACAGGAGGAAGAGCTGCTGCCAAGACAAGTCAGATAAAAGTGGCCTGAGCCTGAGCCAAGAAAATAACTTGGGAAAGCATCTTAGGCAAGCTTCTCCCTGGTTCACATGAGGATGGAGGAAGAAGCACCTTCAGACTTTAAAGATTCTGTTACTATAGAGTCTACCTAGTAAAGTTGCCAAAAATAGAAATTAAAACAGCTAATTAAGGACAATAGAATAGAGTTCAAGAAAGGTCTTAGAATGGTAAGATGAAAGATAAAGTAACTTATTATAAATAAAAAAGTGATAGGTCGTCTTTCTTTTATGGTATAATCACCTTTTCCGTGGGAGTCGACAAGTGTGCCTTGTCTGCACAAGCCATGAACCTACAATATGCCTCTGAACAAAGGATTATAAATTCTGAACCTCCATAGTTAGCATGTTGGGTGCATGCTTTCTGAACTTGTACTAACCAGGACGGATTGATTTAATGAAAATACAGAGCTTTAAATAGCTGCAGGAGGAACTGTACTATGCATACAGCAGCAGTTTTCAGTTGCAGTTTAAGCTGTGCCTTAGCTATGAAAGTTGTCTTCATGAGCAATGTGTGGTACCAATTGTAGATCTGTGACACGTTAGATTTACATGCATGCATGGGACTGTAGTAATCGCCAACAACCTCCCGAATGCATATTTAAGAGGGAATAAACAGAAGCAAATTTATCCTGCAGGTCATAAATCCATACAACATATAAATACTTCCCCTCTTTTTCTAGAAAATTGGAGCATTTAACAGCTCCCCACTCTGTTTGCCTTTTTTCAACAACTGTGCTGACAGCCTACACATTTTTTCATGGCTTAGCCTACACATTACACAAGCTCATGAGAGGAAAAAAACAAAAGTTTTGAAGGAACTTGGACTTGCATGGCCGTATGTGCTCAGCTTGAGCCTTGTGTTGTGTGTCTTTTTTTTTTTCAAGAGCTTAAGTTTGACAGCCCTCTCCCTTCAATTTTTAGCCAGAATGTCACCCCCTAAATGCATGTATCCAAGTAGCTTATTGGGGGAGGCACACTTAGACATGATACAGGGGAAGTGAATCCCGTGGGAATGAAAACTGACTACCTTTAGACTTCCTCCTCTCTATGGCAACCACCTGCCTACCAGTACAGGAAGGAAGGAAGGGCATATTACAATTAGGGTTTGTCATTTGATGAGACAACAAAAAAGGCCCTTCTCAGGTCTGCCATCTTTGCCTTGGCACCTTGCTAGCATCCTGCCATCAAAGGCTAGGGGAGAGGAAAGGATTATGCTAGGGAACAAACAGGCAATCAACCTGCTTTTGTGCATGATGGGAAATTGGGAGGGGAGATTGACAGCTTGACGAAGAGCAAGAGAGCTTGGAGCCAGTTTGTGCCACCACCAAAGACTGTGCACCCTGAGAAAGAATATGAATTACTCAAAAAAATCTCAGCATTCTCAGTGCACCTAGGCCAGGGGTCCCCAGCCCTTGGGCCGTGGCTCACTACTGGGCCATGACCTATTCAAAACCAGGCCATGCGAGTGGCAGACCGGTTCCCCCCCCCCCCCCCCCCAGACTGCCAAACCCCAAAGGTTGGGGCCCGGTGACCCAGGCAAATTCTTATTGGCTGAAGACAGACTGGTCATGGGGTAGAGCTGCAATGGGAGGAAACTTTCTATATCTTTTTTTTTTTACAAAATTTTATTGGCACACCACAGCAACAAGGTTCACCATCACTGCTCTATTGGGTTCACATAGCGTGATTGAATTTGTTGGTATGCCCATCATCCCAATTCTACAAACTTTCTATATCTTTTGAGCACAGGAAATTTAGTTCTAGCCTGACTTTACTGCAACCAATATTTTTTAGTAAAAGAACCTGTCACTTCAACCAAATGGAGTTGAGAGTCTTGCTTTCCTAAGAGATTAGACTGGGGCAGGTCTGACAGGTGGCACCTTCTTTTGGGTACAACATTCACTCCAAGGTACAAATGTCCCCCACTCTGATTCTTTTCCGAAAGGGCCTAAAAGTGGCTACTTCAGTGGACCCTGGAATCGCAAATGGAAATGCAGCTAATTGAGTAGCTAACATAATTGTTCTGTTACTGTGGGGGATGCCATGGGGGATGGGGTAGGGTTTTTAAATGGTTTTATTATATGATAGATCTTTTACATTTTTAAATGTAAGCCTCCCAGACTCACCTATGTGTGAGTTGGGCAACTATATAAACTTGTTTATTAAATAATACATCTAAAACAGGCTTCCCTATCCAGACTCTTTCATACAGTATTGAGAATGGAGTTCTTCCTAAAATGTCCAGTCAGAATAATGGACATCAGACTTGGAAAGCAATAATAAAAGCTCTGGTAGGTCTTTCTTTCATGCCATTTCTGTCATGTGTCAACACTACTATGAAGTTGTGAAAAGTATTGAACTAAACAGATACTGATAAATTTTGCTAATTGAAGAGATTGGGATATATCACTCTGTTAACTGGCCCTTGCTATTAATCACATGTTCATTCATTATTTCTCTCCTTTCTCCTTTTTTCACTCCTAGTCTCTTTTAACGGGGCTATCAGGTCCTCACAAGATCCAAGCATCCACTGTGGTAGCAAGTCCTCTGCTCTCCAAACAGGGTTCTGTTGGTGCTCAAGCAAAGTCTTCTGGGAAGCCAGCACCTCCTGGCAGCACGTCATCAACTGACAGTTCTTCAAGCGATAGCGACACTGAGAAAACTGTCACACCGAAAAAAGGTTGGCTTTGAAGGAACTATTGGTACAGAAGACTTAAAGGAAAGGATTTTTTAGGGAGTCTATGACAATTCGCCATGGCCAATTTTGCCACGGCAAACTCTCTGCAGGTCAAGAGTTGCACTAATATTAAAGAAATAGTGGGATGGAATCATTAAAGAAAAGGTGCAAAAAAAGGGACAGAATGAAATGTGAATAGCAAAAATTTAAATATTTTTAAATTTTATTTTAAATAATTAAACTAAACTGTCAATTGTCCTGCAGCGAGTTGGCTGTAGCAAGTTGTCCCATTCCGCTTTTTAGAAATTCAGGAACTATCTGTATATCCCAACAAATTCATTTTCCAGAGGTAACTGGACTATCTCCCCTTTTTCCAAATCCAAGTTTATACACTTATTTCAATCTTCAAGTGAAGATTTTCTGGATCAAGAAAGGATCCTGCTATATTTGTTTTTCTCAGAATCTCATTATGCTTTGAGGGATTCTCTGAGATTTGTGTTGTGCAGAGAGACATTGAATGGTTCGGTTACAGCTGAAAATTTGTGATCTTGTTCTATAACGGGCTTGATGATTCTTTCTAAATGAAGATACATTTTCTGTAATTGGGTAGCCTGGCTTATTATTATTATCGGTTTATTAATTTTATTTATTTATTTATCTGTTATTTTCACAAATAACTCATGTGCCACAAATATTCAACACTTTCCTCTTCCTATTTTCCCCACAACAACAACCATCCTGTGAGGTGATTTGGGCTGAGAGAGAGAGGTTGGCCCAAAGTCACCCAACTGGCTTTCATGAATGGGGAGGCCGGGTGCCTTAACCACTAGACGAAACTGTCTAGTGGCTATGGAGCGTCTGAGACTGGAGAATGTTTAATTCTTAATCTAATGCAACATTTTTTCATATTGTTAAGACTAAATTTTAAGGCAAAATTCTGAGATAATGCTCTTTTGTTCAGGAGAAAATTGCCCTAATAAAATGTATTTTTCTTTTAATTGGACAGATTAGAATAGACATACATCCAGCTAGGTGTAACTGTAAAACAGTTCTGTAAATTAGAAAGTGTCTTGTTTTAAAAGTTAATTAGGCCAAGCCTTTCCCCAGCTGAGTTGGAATGATTTCCCCACAAATTAGCAGTACTTTATAGGGATCAGGTTCTTAATAGTTGCTAAATTGTAAAACTTTGTTTCTACAGAGACCACCTTGTTGCCTTCTTCTGGAAAGGAAGCAGCAGCTGCTAAGGGAAAGGGGGCAGGGAAACGGGGGCTGAAAAGCAGCAGCTCCAAGCCTCCCCCAGCAAAGAAAGCTGCAACAAAGGCTCAGAGCAGTGGCCAAGGCCAAGAGACATCTGCTGTACAGTTGCCAGAGTCAATCTCCCCATCGTTCAAAGCGCTCCTCGGGAACAAAGAGCAGGACACGCAACAAGGTACCCCAGAAGGGGCCCAGGCTAACCCTGTGGCCAAGGCCAAGGCATCGAAAAATGAGAAAAAAGAGAAGCCATCCAAGAAACGGAAACTGGCAGATGGGAACACTGGCTCTAAGGCTTCAAAGGGCAAGAAGCTTAAAATGCAGAGTGCGGAAGAGACACCGTTAAAAAAGAAGAAAAAGAAATCCAAGTCTTCAGACAGCATCAAATCAACAAAGAAAAAAGACAGCAAAGAAAAGAAGTCTGATAAAAGTGAGAACCGCATCCCTTATTCCATGTGGGCATATCAAAGCTGGGTGCTAATTAATGTTCCTGGTCCTATTTTTCTTTTTTCTTTTTTTCATTATTTAGTGCATTCTGCTGCCCTCATGTAGTAAAGAGGTATTGCTTACCAATAAGCACTTATCAATGCTTTATCAATTATTACCAGCTCAGTTGTGTTGGTAAAAGGGAGTAATATGTGGGGAAAGGTTTATTCGGTATATGCACGTTGATGTCCCATTGCCCCCTTCCCTCCTTTATACTTGTGTAAAGAACTATTCCAACATACATCTTGGTTCCAGTCTAAAGAAAAGCGATTAAGTGAAAAGGGTAGGCAAGAAACTTTTCAGAAGACATATTTAGGTTTGCTCTTTTAACGTTCTTCTGGTTCCTGTTTTGTTTCGTTTGCAGCCTCTTCCTTCCTCATTCTATGGGCTTGTTCTGCTTTAATTACTTCCCCTTTTCTCTGATGCTCCCAGTCCTTTTTGAGTCCCAGAATCTGAGGTAGAGTAGGGATGGGGTGGGGTGGGGTGGAATGGAATGGAATAGAATAGAATCTGAAAGGGACCTTGGAGGTCTTCTAGTCCAGCCCCCTGCTTCAGCAGGAGATCCTATACCATTTCAAATAAGTTGACTGTTTTGTCTCTTCTTAAAAACCTCCAGTGACGGAGCACCCATGATTTCTGGAGGCAAGCTGTTCCACTGGTTAATTGTCCTCACTGTTAGGAAGTTTCTCTTTAATTCCAGGTTGCTTCTCCCTTTGATCAGTTTCCAACCATTGTTTCTTGTCTTGCCCTCTGGTGCTTTGGGGAATAATTTGACCAACTCTTCTTTGCGGCAGCCCCTCAAATACTGGAATACTGTTATCATGTCACCCCTAATTCTTCTTTTCTTTAGACTAGCCAGACCCAAATTCTGCAGCCATTCTTCATATGGTTTAGTCTCCAGGCCTTTGATCATCTCAGTGGTGACTAAAATTGGTTGCAGTATTCCAGGTGTGGTCTTAACTAACTTTGAGACTTTGTAAAGTGGCACTAATACTTCACGTGATCTTGATTCTTTGCCTCTGTTTATACAACCCAGGATTATACTAGCTTTTTGGGTGGCAGCTGCACACTGCTGGTTCATATTCAAGTGATCGTCTGAACTGATTCCAAATTATCTGATCTCACTCTTGATTCTCAGGGTCACCTTCCTTTTTTTGTTCTTCTGTCCAGGGTTGGTCCACAACATTTGGATGCACAAACTACAGTTTTCCTTAAAACGTGATGTTACCTACTTTATGATTGTTCTGTAATATCCCTTTTTTTAAAATCATAGACACTTTTGTGTCAGCAGGTGCCTTCAAGTCAATTCAACTAATTGGCCTAGTCCCTGCAGTGTTCTTGGCAAGTTTCCCAGAAGTGGATTACCATTGCCTGCTTCCTAGGGCTGAGAGAAAGTGACTGGCCCAAGGTCACCCAGTTGACTTTGTGCCTAAGACAGAATTAGAATTCGCTTGGTGCCTTAACCATTACACCAAACTGCCTCTCCTATTTTGGAGGTTGTCAGTTTTTTAGTAGAAAAAGTTTGAATCAACACAGAACCAAGGTTAAAAACAAGTTTAACCAACTCCTTTACTTTATCCCCATATGAATTAGCCCACCAAATCAGTTTTCCTCTGACACCATCCCAAACAAGCAGTCCTTTGGTTTTGGATTTGTTCACCACCCCTGAATAAAATGTCCCTCAGTGTTCCCAGCTGGAGTAGTGCTTCTGGTGGAACAGTTTCTACCTTCTGAAGTGGAGGTACAGTAGCCCTTCACTGTAGAAAAGCACATGCTGGTCTGGGTGCAAAATACAATACACCTGTATTTAACTTGTTTGATACACAATTATCCGTTATTTCTTTCTGATTTTCTGGCTGGAACAGATGGAGGAGGCTGAAGAGCCTAGCTAGGATATGTCTTAGAAAATGGCTTCCTTTGCCGCATGGCTTTAAAACTGAAATGGAGGCAACTTTCCCAGCTCAGGCATATGCTCACAGTGTTCACAGATAGAGCAGAAAAGGATGCTTCAGCTACCAAGGCTGCTGAGTGATCATATTCAGCAGTATCTGAATAAAGCATCAATATCAGCACAGATGAGTCGATCTTAAGAAGGCTGCATTTAGAGAGCCACTGTAAACCCTAAGAGAGAGGCAGTTGCTGGGGTACTATTAATGTTGCTATTCAAAGAGCAGCTCCAGGCAATTCAGTAATTCCTGCTGAGGCATTTGAGTTGCTGGCCGGATTCTCAAAGAGAAATGGCTATAGGCTTCTGCTAGGAAAGGGAGAACAAGAAGGAAAGAGCCTCTTGTATGGAGACTCAGATTTTACCGATCTTAATATAAGTTACCCTCTTTACTGAGAGGGAAAAAAAACCATTTATTTCCATACTCTGCTTCACTTGACTAATGTATACAAGAAAAGACCTCAAATGCTATAGAAAAGAACATATCTAAAAAAGGGGAGTGGAAATTATTTGTCATGTATAAAAACCACCCAGATATTCTGTTCTCTGTACATACTGCATTTGTCCTCTTTTAGATTTTTCTGGTTTTTATCCTATTTTTGCCAGGGTCTCATGTGAATCTGAGTAAGACTATAGGTAGACTATATTTATACAGGTATAAACATATAAAAAGATGAAGTGCAGAAATAGTGCTGACATTTGACCAAATGACAGATTTCATTTCAGAAACAAAATAACTCAACGTACAAATAATTGCTATTTTAGATTCAGTAACTATTTTACTCTTTTTGTAATTAACAATGTTGTACAAGAATTCTGGCCTATTCCTCCATTACTTGTTGCTTTTTCCATAATCCTACACAACATTTCCATGAGGTTTAGATCTGGAGTTTGCCTTGACTATTCCAAAATATTGAATTTGCCTCCTTCGTCCATTTTGTTGTAAAGTTCCTTGTAAGTTTGTACCTTTGAGATCATTGCTTTGGTTTATGAATTTGTAATGGTCTGCCAGCAGCCTGTGGAGACTGCAGCAGAGTCAGACAATGGGGAGGAACATGGGCCAGTCCAGGTGTCTGGGACATTAACCTTTGGAGGAAGCAACTTTGTTTGTACTGGTCAGTTTGAAGCCTGAAGCTCTGTGTTGAATTTGTGTTCTGTTTGGCCTTATATAACTAATTGGAAATTTAGACATTGGCAGCATTCCAAGGGAGATAAAGGTGCATGCTTATCAGACTTATCCTGAAGGACTTTGGAAGACTTCCATGGGGCTATTTACAAATCGTTTGAGACTCATTATGAGCTGTGAATGACTAAAATTCACAGCCATTGAAATAAAGAAAAAAGGGACTAACATATGTTTGTTAGTGTCTCAGTATGCCTTGGTCAGAACAGAATTTCAGAATAACTAACAGAATAGTTAGGTGAGTCTATCCTGTAAAATCCATACTTCCTTCAATGACAGTAGATCATCCAGAAAAATATCTGTCAACACATGACATTGTTATCTCCATACTTAATAGCTGATACGAGATTCTTATTTTAGAAAACAGTGTTTGGTTTCCCATGTACCCACTTTTATTTCATGTGTTGAGAGAACATTTCTGTGGAAGACGCTGTATATTTTGGCTAACTTGTTCTTTATCAGCAGTAGCTTTTTGACCCTTTTACTCTACTGAGACCCATTTTCCCCCAGTGAAAATTACTTGCATATTGGGTTGAGTCATTCACATTGACTTGAGTCAAGATAACAGTGATCTAGAGAACCATAGAGGTTCTCTTGCAATTCTTTGTGACTTATGAGGTGATTTTATGTTGCACGTTTGTGATATCAACAAGTTAATTGATCTTGGGAAGATTCACTATTGTCCCAGATCTCCAATTCAAGATTAAGTGTCTGATTGGTGAAGCCTTAATGAATGTGTAATCTGTTTCAAACTGATAGATATTGATTTTTTTTTTAATGGAAGTCTTAAGAAAAATTATTTTGTGTAGGGTATAACATACCTCTAAAATCTGTGTAGTAAGAGTACCAGAGGGTCATAATTTGAAATATTAATGGCAGGGCTGCCTCAAATTAATTTTGATTGTGTAATGATGCACTCATACAACTGACTGGGTTGCTTCTTTATTTGAATTGCTTTAACTGAGGATAAGGAATTACTTTTTCACATTGTAACATGTTGTGGCGGGGGGGGGGGGGGGGGAGGTGAGAGATGTCTTCTAGATGAGCTCTCATTTTTAGAAATCCCCAAACTAGATGTATCTCTATGTGTAATTTTGATCTGCATTTAATCAGGGCTTTTAGGATTCTTATGAGTCACGGTGGCTCAGTGGTTAGAATGCAATACTGCAGGCTACTTCTGCTGATCACTGGCTGCCAGCAGTTTGGCAGTTCGGGTCTCGCTAGGCTCAAGGTTAACGCAGCCTCCCATCCTTCTGAGGTGGGTAAAATGAGGACCCGGATTGTTGGGGCCAATATGCTGACTCTATAAACCGCTTAGAGAGGGCTGTAAGAGCACTGTGAAGCGATATAGAAGTCTGAGTGCTATTGCTATACTTAAAATGTTATTATTAAATTGGACTAAACCCTCCAAGATTTTTAAGCCTGTTGAATCTCCTTCTGCTAGCCACTGTAGTTAAATAAAACTCTTACTTACTTGGTGACTTCTAATTTGAAAGGTTAATTACAAATGCCACATTCAATTTCTCCACTACTCTTTTGTCCAAACTCACATTACTAATATCTTTCAATGAGATTCTAGTCTAAATCAACAGTCTTGGTTTCTCCTGTCAGTGAATTTTCCAGAAAAACTCCGTGATCTTAACAGTCAGAATATATCAGTAAATATGAGAATTTAAACATGAGTTAATAATATTCTTTTCCTCTCCAGTTCTTTTTTTTTTTTTTACTCCCCTAACACTGTCTCTATAATGTTATCTTGCTTTTGGAGGGTTTCATCTTTCATTGTCTGTAACATGATTGATAAAATCTCTCACCATCACTCAGGAGAAAGGAGTACATTTTATGGCAACCTGCCTTCGGCAAGGACTTTAGGGGGCAAGGTTCAGCGTATTCAGAGGATGACAGTTTAGGAAATGGTGGATTAGCATTTTTATTCAGAGTTTCAGGAGATCATACCATCTCTTCTGTTTGAAGTCACTCCAGAATGAGTGTATAATACATAGTAACTCAACTACAAATACATTGTTAAATCAGATTATAAACACTGAAAATATTAATTTTTCAGAGGAATACCAACCATCTTTTTTCCTTAAATCGAGCAATCTTCACTCCTAGGAAGAGGAGCCAGGAAGGTGTTGTATGCTGTGCATTAGTCTTATTTATGTGTCCAGGTAGTGAAGCAGATTTGGTTTCACTCTGGATATGCTTTAGCATGGTGTTATGTTTGGGTTTTAACAACTCTCTTAGCCAAGTTCAAAGTTGAACCACCATGATAGTGTGGATTATTATTGGGATTTTCTGTGTGGTGCCATGTATGTGAAGTTTCAACAGTAACATGGTACAAGCCAACTTTAAGAGTTATCTTTGTGCCCAAGGAAGACTTGGGAATTATCCTCCTAGGAATTCATAGAAAATAACAGCACATGGCTGCAGATAAATTTAGAGATGTGCCCATCTGTTCAGGAAAAAAAGAAAAGGTGTGTTGGATGGTGGTGGTAATAGCATCATAGTGACAAAAGGGAATGATAAGGAGCATTAACACCAATTAGCCTCCTAGTAAATGGCTATTTTATAACCCCAAGTCCCCAGAGCAGCTGTTCCTGTGACATTATCCCAGACATGCTGTTAACATTCTATATATACCTGAATTGAAAGTTTGCAGTGTAGGATGAAACGGGGTGATGAGCATAAACATTGTTTTATTCCTCAATCTTGCCCAGTGAATGTCTCTGCCAGCAAGCAATTGTGGGTAGTCCTTAACTTACGATCACAATGGAGCCCAAAAATTATGTTGTTAAGTGAGAAATGTGTTGAGAGAGTTTTGCCTCATTTTAATACTTTTCTTGCCACATTTGCTAAGTGAATCACTACAGTTGTTAAATTAGTAACACGGTTGTTAAGTGAACCTGGCAGAAGGTTGCAAAAGGTGATCACATGACCCCAGGACACTTCACCCATCATAAGTGTGAAAACTGGCCATAACTCACTTTTTTCAGTGTTGTAACTTCAAACAGTCATTAAGCGAACTGTTTTAAGTCAAGGACTACCTGCATTAAAAGTTCCTTATGGGCTGACTTCAGTTGCGTAATCCTGTCTTTTCTTGCCTTCACAGGACTTCCTTATTCTACCACCTCTTTTGCTATCCTATTTAGTGAGAAAATAAATACCTGAGTCCTCATGCCTGGATTAAATTAGCAGCAACACAGTGAAACCTCATTATAATGGTCAATTTGAGGAGAGGGTTTTGAATTACATTACTGAGGCAGTTTATAGGCAAATGGTATAAATTGCTCTGTAATAATTAAATGAAGGAAAATTAATTTAACTGGCTTATCTGGAATATTCATTTGCAATGTATTTATCCCTTATTGGGGTGGGGGAAGGATCTTTGGATGGTAAATTGATCCATTGCGCTTGAAGTTGCTAAATGTGGGTTTGTTCAAATCAAGGCATCTTTGCATATAATTTTAGCTGCCCCCCCCCCCCCCCCAAAAAAAAATCGCAATGCAATAAACAGGAGATTCAGATGCAAATCTGGATGTTTGTAGAAAAACAACTGACTTGGCACTAGATTTTTCTAGCACAACTTTGGCACTCATTCACAATATGCAGGTTCTTGACATGTTGTAGTAAACATTTCCTTAAATGGCATTGGAATCCAAGAAATAAAAGTATCCTGGGGAATTTGGTACAACTGATCCTGTACTTAAAATCATTCAAAGCTGGAAATGTGCTTTTATATGGCCCCAGAATGTGTGTTGTTGTTTTTTAAAGGTGAAATCTGAATTGTTTACCCTGTCCTGTTAAATGTCTTACAGAGAAAAAGAAGAGCAAAAATGTTGAGAGACTTGATGCAGATGGGTCACAGAAGAAAAAGAAGAAAAAGAAGGTAGGAAAGAATATTCTTGTTTTGAACTGTCTATGAAGATGCTCAGTCATCCAGGTCATGGTTGTCCCCAAAAGTGCTTTTTTTTTCAAGAGGCAACTGGACTTTCTGGTTTTTCTTTGAAGACATTTCCACTTCTCATCCAAGAAACTTCTTCAGCTCTGACTGGATGCTGGGGAATAAAGGATTTATATTCCTTGTAGAACTCTGGTCATTTGCATTCTTTTAGAGAGTCATTGAGGCCACTTGGAGATTTATCTATGTCCTCAGGTTCACTTGAGTGGTACAAATAAGTGTAGAGCAGGGATGTCAAACTGGCAGCCGCAGATGTGTCATATGTTGGCCACACCCACCTCCATTTTAGTGAAGGGGGGGAAGTCGCAATATGTCATGTGACAACGCAAGTCTGACACCCTGGTGTTGCGCCTTCTTGGAACTGTTGAAAGGACTGTTATAGACTGGAGATAGATGATGTTGTATCCCTCTCCCTCTGTTGAGAGAGACCTGTTCAATTTTGACATAGATGGCCTCTTTGACCCCTCTTTCAAACCAGCGGTCCTCTCTGTCCAAAAGGTGGACTTTGCTGTCTTCAAAAGAATGGCCTTTCCCTTTTAAATGAAGAGGGACCGCTGAATCTTGTCCCGATGGGTTTGTTCTCCTATGTTATGCGATGCGTTTATGAAGCGGTTGTTTTGGTTCTCCAGGGTGCAGATCTGCACGTAGTTCACTGAGAAACGTTTTCAAAGAAAAACTAGGAAGTCCAGTTGCCTCTTGAAAAAGCAGCTTTGATAAATGTATCTGGTACAAATTGAACTCTTCCTATCAACCAGCACAAGATTGAGTGTGCAGAGGGGAAATCCCCCCCCACCATTAATTGGATTCGTTACAGTCCGGAACAGGGTCATATTGAATGGGTCAGTAGACTTTGAGTAATTGGTCTCATCGTTTTGTATTTATCTGACTCAGGCGTATATTTAGTTCAGTGAGTATAATAGAGCTACCCTTAGACTCATGGCTTTTTTTCTTTAATGCTCCAAAACTGTTTTTAGAGTACAGGTGTACAATTTGAGGCCACACAAATCAGGAAGGAAGTGACAGATTTTGTTGTTTTTGTATTTTAGAGGCCAAGAGTTCCTTAGTATGAAACATTCCATCTGTTCTTTTGCACGCATGTTGAATAAGACAAATTGCACTCTTTGCTTTGCTTAGCTTTTACCGATCTTCCCGAAACTTCAGAACATATTTACTCAAAAGACACATTTCCCCAATGATGTATCTTTCTTCAACACAAATGAAAGCCAAACTGTTCTTTTGAAACTGAGCTCTTGATTCCACTGAAGAATTGAGAAGTCTCTGTGGTGGGTGTTTTTTTCCCCAAAACACTTTCTGTATTTCTTAGCATATTATTCATCTCTCTCTGTTATTTATGTGTGAAAAGAACAAATTGAAATCATTTGCTTTCTGATTTTTTTCAGAAAACGGATAACCTTCCAGAGGAAGCATGAACATGTAAGTATGCTGAGCCACCCCTGCCTATTATATGTTAGATGAGCACTCCTTAATCTATTGCCTTCCCTGTGCTCAGTTGGAACAAGAGGAGCTGTAGGTCTGTCAGGAGGTTATCAGTCATAGAAAGGCAATTACATGAAACTGACTTCAAAGTGAGTGAATGGGAAAGAAATCGTTTTTCATTTAGAATTTAACAATGAGTTTCACTTGTCTGCCAGCAGTGCTTAGAAGAGAACAGATAGAAGTAAAACTCTTGCAAAATAATTTGTCAAGTTGTAATAAAGTCAGCAAATCAGATAACAGAATAAACAGGAAGGGGCCTTTTCGTTCAACTCCTTGCTCAAGCAAGAAACCCTATACCTGCAACTCTATGGACCCGTGTTGGCAAACCTTTTCGGCATCAAGTGCTGAAATGGGAGCGCGTGCGTGAGCAGGGGAGTGCCGGAAACCAGAAGAGCGGCTCCCCGGCACACATGCCTGTGCCGGGAAGCTCAGCTTTCAGTTTCCAGCGCTCCCATGCACGCGAAGACCAGCATGCACGCTGGAATCAGAAGAGCAACAGGCGACGGCTGGCGTGCCCAGAGAGATGGCTCTGCGTGCCACTTCTGGCACGCGTGTCATAGGTTCGCCATCACAGCTATAGACAAATTGTGGTCCAATTTCTTTTTAAAAAACCTCCAGTGCTGGAACATTCACAACTTCTGGAAGCAAAGTCGTTCCACTGATTAATTGTTCAAACTCTAGGGAAAATTTTCAACTTTTCAAAAAATGTGCTGAAAAACTCAGCTTATACTCGAGTCAATAAGTTTTCCCAGTTTTTTGTGGCAAAATTAGGTGCCTCGGCTTATATTCGGGTCGACTTATACTCGAGTATATACGGTAAGTGTTTTTAAAAAATTTCAGAAATATCATTTATTTTCTCTCACCTCCCCATCACAATCCTTTTCCTAATTTTGTCTTTTGTCTCCTCTTTGCAGTGGCTTTGTAATTCAACATGAAGAATGGAAGTACATTAATTAGCAGAGAATTATTCATTTATATTTTTCAACAAAACCAAATGTCAGAGATTGAATTTAATTTATAACTATTTTTACTGATGACTTTTAAAGCTGAGAAACTGTGATTCAAGTGACCTGGATGTGGGCTTGGTAGAAGGATACAACTTGTATCATTAAGTGAAAGGATCTGGATGTCTGAAGGGATCTCTCAGAAGAGTCACGTACAGAGAAAAAAGTTGGCTTTGTTTACTGAAATATTTTTAAATTGCTGTTTCTCTTTCCTTTTTTTCCTTTTCCTTGACACTTGAGAGTTATATTTTTAAAGAAACACCATATCCCTTCACTCCTGCTACTTTTTTTTTTTAAATCAACTTTTTATTTTCATTTTTAAGAAGGGACATCTTTTGTCTCTCATTATGTCCAGCATGTAGTAAATTGTGTTGTCGCTGGATTGGCTTTCTGTCTCATCCTTCCTCTTTTTATTAATAAAAAGATAAAAGATTTTGACTGGAAAAATTAGGTGTGTGCGTGTAAAACCTAAACAAGTGCACAGTCTCTCCACCACACCTGAACATTGCTGATAATTTGGCAAATCTCTGATTTCATACTGAATATGCTCGTGCGTTTATGTTCACCTTTTTCATTTTGAGACATTCACGTTCCCAGGTCTCAGATTTTCATGGAACGTTTATGGAATCTCACTCTTTATTCCTCCAATTTGTTAATGCTTAGTGAGACTAAGAGGAGGTTTTGTATTTTGTAGTAGATATGGAAATGATTCTTAGTCATTCCATCACCTCCAGAGGGCCTCCCACTCTATCCCCATAGAGATTTCCAATTTCATACTCTCCACAGGCATCTCTGAAACGTCTGAAGAGTAGAATAGAGGAAGTCAAGTAGTATCGATTCCAAAAACAGCCAGGCTGTGAAGAGCATCTAATATTCTGCATAAGAAGCAACTAGATTCTGCAATTTGTATCAAATAAAAGTCATGTGTGTTTTTCATATCCAATTCTTCTTTTATTCAGTCCAGTTTTGTACTAGAAGTGAGACTTGACAGCATTGTAGGAATTCTGGTAGGAAATTCCAACTTGATTATTCCAGGTAAAGGAGATTTTCCCTTTGCAACCTAACCAAGAAAGTCCCTGAAACATTAAGGTTCTTCCTGCCCCCATTACCTTCATCATGACAGCATAGAACTTTGTGGTGTTGGGGCAAGTTATAATTAACTGGCCTTGAAAACTATTATTATTATTATTTTGGATTTCTTTAAGGTTTAGCTACAAAGGATGTAAAGAAGAAGCGTTATTCCTACTTCCTCTCTGCATGGCTCGTGGCCTAATTATATTGTCCTGAAGGAATCGAATCCTAGAGAAAAACAATGCTTCTATCAAAAACATACTTCTGTCACTCTAGGAAAGGGCAAGGAACCCTTTCCTGGAAGAGCAGGAGAATCACAGATCTCAGATACACAGTTTGCACACGGTGATTTTAGAAAATGACACAATGAAAGATGCGTGTAAAACCTCAACTTCTTTTTTTAATGTCAAGTAGGATTGAAAACGTCTTGATTCCTGACACCTGTGCCAGAAACTGAATAGAGAATGGAAGGGAAGAATTATTTCAGTTCCTTGGGGACTCGGTGGCTTCTGTTGTCACCAATCGTTCGATGGAGGGGAGTCTCTTCTGCAATGATTCTGATTCATTTCTCTTGGGTTATATCCTCCATTCTGTGGGGATGAAGGACTAGTGTTTGGCACCTTGGTAAAAAGCCGATATTGAGCAGAGTTTCAAATGCCCCTTAATATCTACTTAAGTCCACAGGGTAAGCCATCCAGAGCTGCCTCAAACTGGAAGAATGGTGGGATATAAATTTAATAAATCGCAAAAAGCTTTGGAGATGCCTTCTCTAACTCTAGGGAAGTAGTTGATAGATCTGCACTTGTTTCCAATACTTCTTTGGCATATCCGGAGAATTACTTGGGAGGGGGCATCTCTTTTGTTAAGAACTTGGTAAGCATGAATAGCTAGAGGAAAACTTTCATGATATTTGTTGGGTATGCAGGAGAGGGTTTTCTCCTGTGCTTGGAATCCTCTCCATGGTTAGAAGCTTCTTCAAGTGAAGCATGGAACATTACTTCATGCTACAAGTTACATTATTTCAGTTATTCTGACAAGTGGGCTGCTTTCCATTTGGTTCACTCCTCCAAGAGATCCACTAGCCCTCACAACTAGTTATGCTGAAAAAGTGATTGTATTGGCTTAACTCCCTTGTGTACGGTTTGCCAGGTTTTTCAGTAGTGTTCCTTGTTCATACCATGGCTTGAATCACAAACCAGCTGCACAGGCAAAAATGGCAGAGGTTTGGTTTATGGTTTAATGCAGGGGTCCCCAACACCCACCCCCCACCCCAGCCCATGGACTGGTACTGCCCCATGGCCCGTTGGGAACCAGGATATGCAACCAGCAGGCGAGTGTACAAAACTATCCTCACTTCCTTCCCCCAGCCCACCCCTGCCGTTGCTGGTCCACAGAACTGGAAAGGTTGGGGACCGCTGGTTTACTGTATTAGGCTACGTATGTTATTACAAAATTTGAAAACAATTGTATGGAAGGGGGAAATGGTGGTGTTTGAAAAAGGTTCTTCAAGTAAGTATTTTTATGTAAGCCAGCTGTTCGTTTTGATCTCTTAAACTACTCCACCCACCCCTACATAACTATGCAGTGGCATTTTGCAAGTCCATTGGATCTGACCAAATTTTATTAAAACCATTTCTATGTATCGCACCTTGTGGTGGCCAACCTAGTGTGAATGTCAGCAAAGTGCAGGTGACTGGCAAGCTTCACTTGCTCTATGCAGAATTCAACCATGGCCTCAATCCTTCACACTGTTACTATGGAAGGAAGCCCATTAAAGCGGTTGCAACTTGCTTCTGAAGGTCGTGGGTGGGACGTTCTATGAAAGCCGTTCTTGATGTAGATCCCCCTTCTCTGAAGTCTGCAGTGGCCAAAAAAGAAAGGCAGCATCCCCATCATGCTTGCCTCCTGATGGCACACACAGGCAAATGAAAGCGTGTCAGGAATAATAGCTTCATTAGCAATTACTGAGCAAAATAGTGCAGCAGCATCTTTCTGCCACTACAGTTTTTTCAAAGGAGAGGATATTTTGGCAGCCTGTGCGCATTGCTAGAACGTGAAAGGGTCAATCATCCACTTCAGCAGAAGAGTGCTTCATCAGTTGGTTACTTTTTTATTTTGCAAAAGCTTATAATTAAAATCAGCTTAGTTTGTTATCAGTGATTATATATTCAGTGTGCATCATTAACAGACCATAGACTAGGATTGGTATATAAACTTGAGAGCCTATCAATTAGAAGTATGTTTTCAAGACTTCTTTGGTGATCTTATCTTGCTCAATAACTATTCTAAAGATTATGTGAAGGATACTACTAAAGAAAGCATGCATACACATCATCAAACCAAAGTCTAATATTCTACTAAGCTTTTCTTGAGGGGAAAAACATGCTACCTATGCCATCCAGTTAGAAAAGTTGGCCTTTCTGGAAATAAGGATTTCTCTTTCCCTGTAAAAGAGTCCGCTACATCCTGGTGTCTGCCAGATGGCTGCAACTCCCAGAATCCCTAGAACAGGTTTCTCAACCATTCTTAGCCATTCTTGGCTCAGTTGAAGCCCAAACATCTTAGATTGCCGTGGTTAAGAAACACTGTCTTGGAGAGGAACATTAAAGATCATGCTGGCCTAGATTTCTGATCTTACAATAATGCACCTGGAGGGCACCAGTTCAGGAAAGTTGTTTTAGAGATTTTGTTCTAATCATTCACATAAAATATAGTAGGCCTTCTTAGCTTCAAGATGGGTAGACTTCAAATTCTAGGAGTTGAAGTCCATCCATCTTTAAGCTGCCCAAGGTTGAGGAAATAATGAAGTAAATAATGATATGAATAGGTGGGCTTTGTAAAATCAGGAGAAGCAATCTGAGGGAAATAAACCTTGCAAAGAAAGCATTTTGGAGAAATGGCATCTTTGTCATGGTTTAAATTCCTGTTTGATGGCAAATGAACATGGAACAAGATTGATGTTGAAATATTTGCACTGAGTGATCTTCTCAACTGATTAACTATCAAAATCGGACGGTATGAATTGATTATTCAGGGAAACATCTAAATTTCTTGCTCATTTGTTAAAGTCCTGGATAAGCATAGGTCACTTTTCTAAAACAGTAATTCTGCACTCAGCATTGTTGACAGTAATAATTAAGCTACTTTCCACCCTTCCCTCCTTTCCATTTAAGCATAATTTTTAAACTAATAAATTTAGAAACAGGTTGCCGTTACAGTAATTCTTGAAATCAGTATCCAAGCAGAGCAAAAGTGAAACAAGCTGAAGAGAATTTGGCTTTCTTAGGCCAATGTGCTGACCTCCTTGTTTCATATTTTCTAAGGAGAAAAAAGAAAAAAGAAAGGTGAATAGTAACCACACTAGTTACAGAAACAAAACTATTAATTATTGAGAGATCTGAGTCTAGCTTGAGCGCTCTAAAGTGGGGAAAGTCCACCTCATATTTTCAAGATCGTATATGTTTTAATCATATTCACAGATTACTGTAGCATTATTAACTTATCCATGTACTGCCACAAACATCTTTTATTCAGACCTTTTCCCCTGCAAATTATTCTAAACATTTATTTAATGCACAGCTATAAATATTTAAGGTGCCATTTCAATAAATTTGATCAAACCAAGGAAGTTGCTCATTTAGCTTTTATATCCATACATATGTTCTTCACACATGCATATAGCTAAAAAGCTTTTGTTGTTGTTCCAGCATTATGAAGCCTAAAGACATTTAGATGTTTTGCAAACTAGTTGGACATGCAACTAAAACATAAGCATGGAATCTGTGAAACCTACAGATCCAGCAGTATATTACAGCTGACATAATCAAGATTTTTTCCCCTTCAGAATAACGTTCGAACTGCAGTACTTTATTGCATGGTAGACTTTTGTAGCTAATGTAAGACACAAGTGATATCTCTACACCATTTCTGAATCAGAGGTGGGTAGCATTAGCTGGGAAATGAGGAATATGGATTAGGAGCTATGGACCTTTTGTCCTTTATTGTCCCACTAAGCAAGCCCTACTTAACTTGGTATCTCCAGATAGATGGGAATTCAACACAGTTCCTAGCCAGCAAGCCAGAGTGTGCAAACAGAAGAGCTGGCCATTTAAAGAGTATTAAGTTGGGGGAGGCTGCCATGACTATCTGTGGCTAAGCATTTTGGAAAGCAGGATACTGCCCTAGAGAGCCCTCTGAGCAGATTGAACAGGGTTCTCCTCAAGTTACCTCAAGAGATCCATCAGTTTTGGTCTCCAGAATAGGTCACGTTCTCAGGATCCAAATTGCCTGCAAAGACAAAATATTAGCACATTTAATGAGCTGGAAAAATATTTCTTAATTGGAAAGAATTAATTAGTGCAACAAATACTACCTCCTTGGGGGGCTTTTGTTGGGGGAAGGTGGTGAGTGAGGTGGACTGGTGGTTCAGTGTGACCAGCTATTCCTACAAATAAATAAATAAATAAATAATATATGTAAGTGTGTGTGTGTGTGTGTATATATACACACATATATATACAGATAGATAGATAGATAGATGATAGATAGATAGATAGATAGATAGATAGATAGATAGATAGATAGATAGATGCATGCATACATACATACATACATACATACATACATACATACATATATATATATATATATATATATATATATATATATATGGCATTCAGCTTTGTTCGGGTATTTTCCCACGTCATTGTAGTTGTGCTTTTAAAGTTGTAGCTTTGTAAATGAAATGTTTTACAAGGTAAAAAATACAATACAAATTTAAGAAAAGAAATAAGAAATACAACAGAAAAGACACAAAAGAAAAAAAAAGATATAAAGAAGTGGCTTCTGAACTTTACAGCAGTTATAAATGCATTTATATATTGTCCTCCCATCTCTTTCGCTCATCACTTCCTTCTTTCCATATTCTATTTTTTTCTAATCCCATAAATCCCAAATTACATTTTTTTCCATTTTCAGCAAAAGAAAAATCAATAAAAGGTATCTAGTCACTGACAAATGTAGTTGTCTTTTCCCTAATCAAATCCTTACCTCTACAAATGTTCCCATCTTTACCAACATTCCTTTATTGGGTGTATTTCAGAATCCTCAGCTATTCTTTTCCCAGGAACTGTGCAACTGACATATTATTTAAACCTGGGATGAAGCTGCCTTGGGGTTACAAAGATCCTCTAGAACAGGGGTGTCAAACTTGATTTCATTGAGGGCCACATCAGGGTTATGTTTGACCTCGGGGGGGGGGGGGCGGGGATGCGGTGGGTGTGGCTGGCTCGATGTCACTTGTGCTAGGGGGCACCTGTAGTGGCCCAAGCACTATGCCAGCGAAAATGGGCTCCCAAACTCTGTTTTCAGCTGCAGCGGCCCTCCTGCAGCCCTCTGCCAGCAAAAACAGAGCTCAGGAGAGTTGCGTGCGGCCCTCCCAAGCTCTTTTTGCTGGCAGAGGCACCGTGAGCTGGTCCTTTGCTGTTTCCAGGGTGGTCCACAGCTAGATCTTAAGCACCCCATGGGCGAGATCTGACACCCCTGCTCTAGAAGCAAAGCCCCTTGATCTTCTATTAGTGCACAAAGACTAGCTTTTCTCTGATCGGGATGTACCTATAATCCTAGTTTAGCTTGTCTATTAACCATCAGCCCTTCCCTTTGGTCTAAAAGGTTAACAGAGTTAGAAGGGACCTTGTATGTCTTCTGGTCCAACCCCCCACCCAAGCAGGAGACCATACACCATTTCTGACAGATGGCAATCCAGTCTCTTCTCGAACGCTTCTAGTGATGAAGCTCCTACAGCTCCTGAAAGCAAGCTGTTTCATTGGTTGACTGTTCCCACTGTCAAAAAATTTCTTCTTATTTCTAGGTTGAATCTCTTCTTAATTAGCTCCCATCCTTGTCTGGCCTTCAGATGCTTTGGAAAATAGGTTGCCTCCCCTCTCTGTGACAGCCCTTCAAATATTGGAACACTGCCATCATAATCTAGATCATGTGTGTCCAGCCTGCGGCCCACATACGACCCTGAACAGCTAGTAACGTGGCCTCAAGATTGTAAACTTTTAACATTACGAGAGTGTTAGCTATATTTTTCATGACTCAATTGCACAATACTCAAGTATGAACTGCGTAGGCAATAATCGAACGCTGTGTAGAAGAGGGCACAGAGCTGTATTAACTGGGGGGCGGGGTTTGGAATCATCACCAATTCCAGGAATTCCTTAAAAGTATGGATGCTAGTTATGGGGGCATCATTTACTTTTCTGAGGTGGCTAAGGTGGCTAAGTCAGGGTAAAGTGTTGAAAAGGTTTTATTCTTTGTGAAATGAAATTGAGCCATTAATGGAATCAACAGGAAAATTTCTGCCAGAATTTGAAGATGAAAAATGACTCACAGATTTAGCAAAAATTTTGGTGAATTTGATTGCTCATTTAAAGGAGTTAAAAATATGCATATTCAAGGTGAAACTCAACTTATCTGTGCTATGTTTCAAACCATTTGAAATGACACTTTGGTTTAAATTATGGTACTTCACATTATGGCAAATAATTTTATGCATTTTCATATATTCGCTAAACAGAGTCTTGTGATCAGTGGAAAATATGCTTTCTGCTTTGATGCAGGAATTTCATAACAGGTTCAAGATTTTCAGAATATCAGAATATCTTCCCAGAAATAAAATATCCTTCACTTCACAATCACGCTTTATTGATGCCATTGCTTTTTGGCATGGTGTACATTTGTGAACAACTTTTTTTTCAAGAATGAAGCACACAAAAAGCAAAATTAGATCAAAATTTTCTGACGAGCAGTTGAAAACTCACTAGGAATTTCAACCACTTCCCATCCAACCAGACACCAATTGCATTGGCTCATGCATAAAAACAAGCACAAATATCCCACTCATTTCATGTATATATTATTGAAGGATGGTTGAAGGGGGGGTCTCTGCCTCAGAGGAGAGAGATGTCAGAGTTGAGGGAGAAGGATCCCCTGAAAGACATAGGGTGGGGCAATTCATTCAAGTGGTGATCGGCATGGGGCATAGAGATGGAAGCCAAAGGGCAGGCCTTTGCAGGGGAAGATGTCACCTATGCTTAAGACCAGTGCTGTGCTCCAGCCCTCTGAACTCACTCCCAGACCCTAATCATTAGCCTCTTGGAGGCCCAGGGTTTTGATTGTAAGGATGAATGCCAAGCCAGTTAATAATAAGCCCACCCCACCCCACCCTTATTTGAGATTTAGGGAGAGGCAAGTCGGCCTGATATGCATTACCAAGATCTGTCTAATTGAAGAAGGGGGGAGTATTCCCCTCTCTGAGATGTGGGGGTGGGTGGGTATTAGGATTTGGCAACAACCAAGGTCACAACAAGGCAGGGCAGGGGTGGGGGTGGCAATTGTCATTTGAGCATCTCTTGGCCTTCAGGGCCCATGTTCCCCATGTTTCCAGATGGGAGGCCCTGTTTCTGAGGCTAGGCTCACAGGATCAGATGGGAGTGTGTTGCTCTCTGGTGCATAACAACCTCCCCGCCTCAGCTGCCGGAGGCAAATCTGCTTCCAGGTGCAACTCAGTGTGTTGGTTATTCCCTTTAAAGCTGCCTAAACGAAAGCCTGTATCTGTGGAACCATCTTTTCCCAGTGGGATTGGCCTGTCCCATTCATGCTGCAAAGGGGCCTACTGCAGGTCCCATCAGCCAAGGAATTGGACTGGTGAGATCCAAGAGAAGGGTTTTTTCTGCTGTGGCCCCGTTCTTTGGAATATCTTGCACAGGAAGTAAGATCTGCCTTCTCCTTTTTTAGCCTTCAGAAAATATCTTAAAACTTGGCTATGGGATCCTGAAGGAAAAGCTTTTGGCTGGAGGTGGTTGGTGGTGCAGTTAGCAGAGAAGGTACTCCTGCTTCTCCACTCCAAACCTATGGATTTTTAGTTTTATTTTATTTTTTGTAATTTTAATCTGTTTTTATATTTACAATTGTCTGGATATTTGTATCATGAAGTAAGCAACTCAGAGTCGCTTCAGATTGCAAAGAGGATGGCAAACGAATTTAATATTCACAACCATAACCATCCTATGAGTAACTCTCCCCTTTGATAGCAGAAAGAAGCTCTTTACCAGCACAGTCTGGACGTCCACGGATTTTAGAGCCCTCAATTATTGTGCCATTTTTGTAGACACACCAGCAATAGCCGCTGCTGGAATGGCACTGCATAGGCAGATAGCTCCCCTCTCCATCACAATGGGCACAGAATCTTCCTGGGTGGACACCCTTAACACATTCTTCCTTCTGGCACTTGGTTTTCCCTTTGAAAGAAAAGGTGGAGAACCAAGGAAATTGTAATATTTAGAGCTGATTGCCAGTACTCTCGCTGTCCTTTTAAAGCACTTGTAAATCACAATAATTATATATCCCTTGCCTTCAGAAGAGCGCATATGATGTTACGTAGTATATGGCCTTTAGTTCAAGCTGTGGTGCCAACTCCCCTCAGCCTCACCCAGCAAGGACAATAACAGAACAACAGAGTTGGAAGGGGCCTTAAAGGTCTTCTAGTCCAACCCCCTACTCAAGCAGTAAATCCTATGCTATTTCAGACACATGGCTGTTCATTCTCTTTTTAAAAAAGAATGGCCAGGAATGGTTGGAGTTGTCAAATATCTAGGACAGGGCTGTCAAACTAGCAGCCTGCGGGCCTGATGTATCACAAGCTGGCCATGCCCAGTTTAACAAGGGGTGGGTGGGGAAGTCATGATTCATCACTTGATGACGATGTGACAGTACAAGTTTGACACCCCTGATCTAGAATATTTGATCCTGGACAGATCAGTGTTAATGACTGCAGTGGTGTATGATAGATTAGAAATCATTGTGGACTTTCTGTGAGTTAATTACAATAATAGATTGTTAACAGAGTGCTTTAAAGTTTAGCTTTGCTGTTGGGTTCCTTTTTCTACAGTAGATAAATGGTGAGTCAAATTGATTGGCTAAATAGAGTTGTAGAAGTTCATAAACTGTGGAGCTGTTTGGAAGGAGGGAACTATTATTGTTGAAATATATTTATCAGTATTCAGCTAGGAGGGAACAATATGTGTGTATTTTTTGTTGTTGTTTTATGTCCATGTTTGTCTTGTTTATCATTTTGCCTTGCCTTGTCTTTTTTCTTTTTTTGAGTTTGTATTTTAACTTGGGATATAAAATTTTAAAAAAATTATGAGGAGTGATAGGAGTTGTACTGTACCTCAACTATGTCTGAAGAGATGCAGTTCTCCAATGATGTGGCAATTAAATATGACAAATTTATAATCTGAGCATAATTCAGAAATGAAGTGTTTCTCGGAATGTGGCACAACTACACTCCAGAAAGCCAGTCTCTCAGGGAGAAGCATTCAATAGAGCTTGCCCCAGGATGGTGAGGCTTTTGCATACACAATACACATTAGAAAGGAAGGAGAGCTACCAAGTCTACTGTATAGCCATCACACCGCACATAAGCAGCCTGGAAGGTCCAAGCAAAGTTTTAACATATGGCTTGGCTGACTGTGCTGGATGCTCCCTAATCATCAAAACAGGTTGTTCCATTGCAGCTACACTAAAGGGAAGGGAAGGGTAAGGAAATAATGCTTTTTGTAACAATATGCCACTTTAATTAGGACAGCTATTTCATTGGGATGGCTCCCAGGGAAACCATTTAGCCTAATGAGAGCAAACATAATGAGTAGTTGAATGGAGGCAGTATTAATATAAATTCAGCTAATGGGGGCAGTGGCTGATGACTGCTGGGCGGCTAATTGATATGAAAATCTCAGCCACTGGGTTTGATTTCAAAAACTGCAGAAATCACAGAAGGAAGAATTCTTCTTAAATACAAGATTGGTGTTCAAGTTTGTTACATAAAGTTACTGAGCTCACTGAAGCATTATTGAATCATTTACAGAGGGAGCTGCTGAAATGCCCAAGATGGTCCCATGGGTTTTAAATTATATTGAAGAGGCTCTTAATTTGCACCTTGGGTCTTCCTTCCTCACAGATGCAACTTCTAGCTTGTAACTGAAGTATTAAATGAATCACTTATTGCCAGATGTGTGTGTGTGTGAGAGAGAAGGTGGGGGAGGGAGGGGGAGAGAAAGAGAGAGCACACTTTTCTTTTGCTTTGTGACTTCCAGTGTTTTCTCTTCTTCCATTTAAGTTCTAGGCTCTACAGCACGAAAAGCTCATCAACCACCCCAGGCTCAATAAATTAACAGGTAGCCCTTGACTTACAAATAGATCACATGACCCCAGGGCACTGCAAGCATCATCAATATGAGTCAATTGCCAAATGTCTGAATTCTGATCACAGGACTCTATGGAAGCTACAACGGTCGTAAGTGTGAAAACTGGCCGTCAGTCACTTTTTTCAGTGCCGTTGTAACTTTGAATGGTCACTAAACAAAATGTTGTAAATCAAGGACTACCTGCATTGTGTACCTTTAGCCCATTGCCTCTTCTCTGTAGAAAGGCAAGGAGATACAAAGGATTCCCAAGTCAAGCATCCTGTAGTAGTCTATGGAGATTGTCCATCATTCAGGTCATGGTTGTCCCAAAGGTGCTTTTTCAAGAGGTAACTGGACTTTCTGATGTTTTTTTTTTAAGATGTTTTGATTCTTATCCAAGAAGCTTCTTCAGCTCTGAAGAAGCTTCTTGGATGAGAAGCAAAACACCTTCAAAGAAAAACCAGAAAGTCCAGTTGCCTCTTGAAAAAGCACCTTTGGGACATCATGTAGTAGCAAAATAATCAGTACTACATAAATAGCTTGTTCCAAAATTAATTTGTATTAATTGATCCAGAAAGAAACACCCACCCACCCTACCCCAAATGATGTCCAATATGTTGAAAGTGATCTTTCCAATGAGTGACAGGGAGCCCTGGCAAAGAAGAAGAGACAACAAGAGGAATTCCACATTGTAATCCTTCTTGGTCTCTTGCTCACTGGCATCAGCCCTAATTTCCTTCTGACATGGAGCATCCCTCTTGATAAATGTAGGTACCTAATAAAGATGGGCATTTTCTTCCCAGCTTAAAACACTGGCCAATTTACATCAAGAGAGGCTTTGAATATTTTACACAATCTACCCAAATGGCAATATTCCTTGTCATCCTTCAGTAATCCCCCTGGATATGTTGCTCTCAGAAATAAATTGTTGCAGGGACAAAGGCAAGTGGTTTATTTTATGCAAAGAGGAACCAAAGGGCACAGAAGAATGCACTGATATAATTTTACAGCTGGCAATAAGAATACTGAATTCAAGCAACATTGGCACGAAGAGAGGAGCAATTCCCTTGGCATCAATTAAAAAACACATTTGCATCTAGAAAAGCCTTCTGGGCAGAGCATTGCCTTTGAGTGAGGGGCTTGCCTTGGCTTGTTTGAGAAAGAAACCAAACTTTCATCTAGTTCCCACCAATTAGTCAGTTTGGGAAAGACAATTCTCCTCCTCCCACTCTCCATCCCAGCTAGTTCAAAAGATGGGAGGAACAGGTAGGATGGAGAGCTGCAACTCGAGAAGGGATGTGTGGAAATGGCAAAATCCCTTTTGCAATCAAACAAAAGATTTGCATTTCAGATCATCTTCTTTTAATGACCCCATAATCCCTTGCAGGGTAGAGTCTGGGCAACTGAATGGAGCTGGGTATTTACTGGCCAGATGCCCTTCCTGTCACCAATATGGAGTTTCATTCAGCAGATATATTGTCATTGTGCCCAGAGAGAGAAATATCTGCCTCTACCTAGGATCAAACTCACAGCCTCCTGATTGTGAGGTGAGAGCTCCACCTCTAGGCCACCGCACTAGTCATTTGCATTTACAAGATGGTGCCTTTGAATTCTTTCCTTGAACATGGGGCTTCTCTCCAGCCAAAAAAAAAATCCCAGTAACTACTGAGTTCTTTCTCTAAAGGTAAAGGCCTCCCCTGTCCAGTGGTCTCTGATTCAAAGGAGCATCTCTGTTTCTTAGGCAAGGGAGCCAGGATTGTCTGAAGACATTTCTGTGGTCATGTGGCCAGCACGACTATACTCCAAGGTGCATGGAACACTATAGCAATAGCACTTAGACTTAAATACTGCTTCACAGTGCTTTACAGCCTTCTCTAAGCGGTTTACAAAGTCAGCCTATTGCCCTCCCAACAATCTGGGTCCTCATTTTACTGACCTCAGAAAGATGAAAGGCTGAGTCAACCTTGAGCCTGGTGAGATTTGAACCACCAAATTGCAGGCAGCCGGCAGTCATCAGAAGTAGCCTGCAGTACTGTGCCACCGAGGCTCTGTTACCTTCCTACCAAAGTGTAAAGGTAAAGGATTCCCTCGCATAGACATGCTTGGTGTTTTCGGCTCTAGGGGGCGGTGCTCATCTCCGTTACAAAGCTGAAGAGCCAGCGCTTTCCAAAGATGTCTCCATAGTCATGTGGCTGGCATGACTAAGTGCCGTAGGCACACGGAACACTGTTACCTTCCCACCAAAGTGGTCCCTATTTTTCTACTTGCATTTTTACATGCTTTTGAACTGCTAGGTTGGCAGAAGCTGGGACAAGTAACAGGAACTCACTCCGTTACGTGATGCTAGGCATTCGAACCACCGAACTGCCGACCTTTCTGATCGACAGGCTCAGCGTTTTATCCACTGAGCCAACGCGTCCCTTAGACTTACCAAAGGCTATTTATCTACCTGTATTTACATGCTTTCAAACTGCTAGGTGGGCAGGAGCTGAGGTAAGTAAGGGGAGCTCACCCTTTTGGGGGATTCTCAGGTCTCAAATCTGAGCTGTCAGCTTTCCAACTGACAAGCTCAGCATCTTTAACCAATGACCCATTGCATGCCCCCCATTCTTCCCCTATGAGCCACGGTCATGCGTACAGTATATTACAGTGTGCCCTGATGTGCCCATGCTGTGCACTTCCTTGACCTCTTCATTCAATATTGCTGGTTGGACGTAATTAAACCAAAGGCATCTTTCCTGCAATTGGCTTTCTTCATTATTATAATGCTATGTACTCAACTTACAACCACAGCTGAGCCCAAAATTAATGTTGCTAAGCAAGGCAGTTGTTAAGTGAATTGTGCCTCATTTTAGGACTCTTTTTGCCACAGTTAAATGAATCATGTGGTTGTTAAGCAAATCTGGCTTTTCTCATTGACAGCTTGTTAGAAGCCAGCTGAGAAGGTGTACCAATGGTGATCACACCACCCCAGCACAGTGCAATGGTCATAAACACAGGCTAGTTGCCTAGGGTAGAAATTTTGATCACATGATCATGAGGATGCTGCAAACAATTGTGAAAAATGACCATAAGTCACTTTCCTCAGTGCTATTGTGACTTCAAATGGTCACTAAACAAATGTTTGTAAGTCAAGTACTACTTCTACTGTATGGTACTGATGCTAAATTATGAAATAAGCAAAGCTACAAAGAATGGGACAAGGCGGGGAGAGACCAACTTTATTCTATCCTGACCCTTCTGCATATACCTCAGAATTTAACTTTCCTCTTGATAACATCACAACACTTGGAAATGCCTTCTAGGATATTGTTGCTGTTCCTACTGATTTCCTACACCTCTTTAAAATGATAGGCACAAGTAGAAAATGATACTTTGATGTGCTCTGAGTTGAATGAATTCATTCTTTGCTTCCAAGAATTTCATGCTTAAAAGTTGTTTGTTTCCTACAAGTCTAGCGTACATACCTTTTTCTTCGGTGTCCTGTTTTTGGGCCATTTGGAAGATCAGCCATTTGTGCATCCAGGTTTCAAACTCCTGCAAACACACCATGTATCGTTACTGAAGGCTAATGATATGAAATTAAGGCCACTATCGTTCTGCTCCTCCTTGTTAACCCCTTGGAGAATAATCCGTATCTCCTAAAGAGGGCTGTTGAAGATTCAAAGGAAGGTGCAGATGTTTCTTATGTAAGAGGAGAGATAGGTAGAAAGGCTCTCTGGTAGGACTATACGTGACCCTCCCATAAATAGTGGAAATCAGAATAAGTCTTGATAAGAAAATGAGAGAATCACAGAAGAGGGATGAGGGTTCAGGAAAGAAAATCAGTAGCATCCAAGGAGGAGGAAGGGGACTCTAGAGATGACAGAGATTTACCTTCCAGTCATCGTAAGCCATGCGGATCTTCAGGTGTCCCATATTTTCCTGGAAGGTGCTTTTTAATTCAGGAAAAGTTCTGCTTGGGTTTTCTCGCTGAAGAAAAAAGACATATTTACAGTACAGATACAAGAAGGTCTGTTGTTCAAGACCACCACCAAGGCCAAGTTCATATGCTGATTATTATTTTCATTTCATTTTGGCTTATTATGTGGCTGAGCCTCTACAGCTTGGTCAAAAAACTATGTTTTGTACATGGTTTAGGGTTATGTACGAATCCACATGTTATGCCAAACTATAATTTGTTTAACTACGGTGCATTGAAACAACCGATAGCCCAAATGAAGCAACGTGTGTGTGATGACTTTGTATGTTGTATGAACCAGGTTGAAGACTAGGCTTAGTTTATACATTATGAGCAACTTGGTTTCAGTAGTTTAATGAAGCGTCCTAATAAGTAAGATCATGTAGACGTGACTGCAACAGTTCTGTATGTTTGAACTGGATCCATCACTTCATTCTTCTGAATGGTAATTTAAAATAGAAAAGGAGTTGATGGGATAAGAGTTGCTGGCATGCCTAACTCATAGTTTTCCTCACTCCATTTTCCTTCCTAAATTATCTTCCTTGTAAAGAATTAGGAAGCTGACCTGGATGGAGACATGCAGCTGCTGCCTAGACAAAAGAATCTGAAACATTTTTTTAAAGTCCAGAAACAGATGACATTAGGAAGTGGCTTAGGCAGAAACCTCCCTAATTGATTAAATTATAGGAAGAGGGAGAAGGTATAGCACAATGAGACTGTTGCAAGAGACTTATTACATCCAACCTCAGAGCAGATTTAACCTTCCTAGCTAAAGGAAGACTAGAGCTATTGTAGAATTTATTTCCTAGCCTGCTCTACTTAATGGTGCTCACAATCTGTCTCAGTAGGATTCCAAATCCGAATGTAATTCTCATCACAAGAAAAGCAGGTAGGCCAAAGAGGTTTTGAAAATATTAATTTCACTCATATAGCACAATTAACATCGAATATATGTGAATACCTAGGCTGGGGAGTGGTGCTAAAGCACACCGATCAAGCAAAAAAGGAACTTGAAATTAAAAATACTCTTTGCACAGTTAAAGTGAAAGCACTTAGCAAGAGGAACAAACTCTCTGATCAAGGTCCAAAGCAGTTAGTAACATGCCTGACTGTGAAAAAATGGCACAGAATTACAGTTTGTTCTTTGTTGCTTGAAGGGGGAAAAAAACTGCTAATCAACTTATCCGGTGTAAACTGGTACACCAAAAGTTCCAGCTTGATATGCTTTGCTTTCATTGGCAGCTTCTTTAAATCTTGGCAGAAACTACTGCTAGGTTCTGTAAGATTCACTAGAAGAAGGTCCTTCCCTTTTTTTGAGTTTCAGTTCTTCCATAGACTGTATGTATCTGCACTCAAGGATTGTTGCTGATTCTTATGTCTAGAAAAAAACATCATTGGTCAACTTCGCTGCTTGAAAAGCAAAGTAGATTAATGAGATTTTAACTACAGTTAAAATGTGTGTCTCATATAAGCAGCCTAGCCTGCCTTCCTCTTTCTAAATCCTGCCTGCTCTCCTACTGTCATAATCTTACTAGATAGAGATGGAGATGCCATCTTGCATAGTTTCTCCATCAGGACAATCCATTTTCTGACAACTTTGGCAGGCTCATCCGGAACAGAGTTTGCAGGAAGGTTTACATTACATTGCCAGGACAGTCTTCTTGAATTTAATATATACTGTGTCCAAACTGCATACTTCTTCCCTGCCTAATGTTGGGTGGAAGGTAGGTTCAAGGAGGAGCCACAGCCTTGAGAGAGAGTTTGAATACATCAACGTGTGGCACCTGCTGTGCCTTTTCCCTCAAGCTTTCATGCATCACACTGAATGCAGATTGGCTGGAGTATCTACTGTCAGGTCACAATGCTTCGTCACAAATGCAAAAGTAACAAGATGAGATCCCTCACCAAGAGCAGGCGCTTGACTTGATCCTCGGTGCTGTTAGTCAGCTTGTTTTCCATCTTCAAAAACTGTAAAAAAGAAAATAGGAATTTATTCCAGAAAAGGAGAAAATTAGAAGGAGCTCCCATGTCGCTGGAATTATAGTAGGCAGTGGCAGGAGGGGTTGTTTATCCTTGTGATCATAAGGGAAGGAGGGAGGGACTGAGACGGTGGTGGGATTCAATTTTTTTTACTACCGGTTCTGTGGGCATGGGTTGGTGGCAGAGGTGGTATTCAGCAGGTTCTGACCAGTTCTGGAGAACTGGTAGCAGAAATTTTGAATAGTTTGGAGAACCAGCAAATACCACCTCTGACTGGAGATTTTACAGTATCCTTCCCCTGCCATGTCCACCAAGCCACACCCACAGAACCAGTAGTAAAAAAAAATAGAATCCCACCACTGGTTGGTGGGTGTGGCAGGGGAAGGATACTGTAAAATCTCCAGTCAGAGGTGGTATTTGCCAGTTCTCTGAATTACTCAAAATTTCCATTACTGGTTCTCCAGAACTGGTCAGAACCTGCTGAATACTATCTCTAGACTGAGATAATTTAAACATAATAGTTGCCTCACTTTGTGTGTATCAATTCTAAATATACTTTGTGAGTAAACTTCTAAACAATTCTAAATTGTGTGTAACCATGATCCATGAAAGTTTGTGCAAAAATAAATGTGTTGCCTTGAGAACACTACATAACTCTTGGTTGAAGTGCTGTGAAAGGTGAACTTTTAAAACTAGCCAGTTTTTCAGAAGTTGCAGAACTACCCACTGAAATAGTTCAAGAGGAACTATTGGGAATCCAACACAGTAAGACAACAATAAGTCATGGAAGGGAGCTGTGGCCTTCACCATCTGTCATATTTACCTCCGGTTCATTCAGACCCAAAGGCATCACATTAGCTATTGCCATCTTTGGGCCTGGTCTTTGGACCTCTGTGGAAAGAAAGAGAGTTGTAAAATACATGCAGAAAGGGGTAAACAAAAGAGCATTCACAAGTGCTTTCTACCCTTCTAGTTGTGTCAAACTAGGGACATAAGAACTTGAGTCCCTGGTTATTATCCAAAAAAATCTCTGAAGCATGACAAGGGAATGTTTACTTTTGTGCATGTGTGAGCGTGCACAATAGAAATTTTGGCTAGCTTTCTTTGAGTTGGAAACCCAGTCCTTCATACTCAACCACAAATTCAAAAATCCCTTTTCCTACCGGATGGCTTTTTTCTAGCAGGACTAAATAAAAAGATCAGACAAGCCTGTGCAATTGCAAACAAGCTGTCACAAGTAAACCTTATCTAAGGTCTATCCATCATCTTTCTGCTCTGAAGCTGAAAGCGAAAGGAAGGATGGGTAGCTGACTAACTTTTAGAGATGCTGCTGGTCAGGGAGTCCAGTTTCAGTTGCTGGGTGTTCTTGGTCAGCTTGGTGATCTGGTTGTCATGTTGATACACAAAGTAGACAGTCACAGCCTGGCCAGCGAGGAGCAAGACCCCCAGGAGAGAGAAGATGGTGTAGGCAGTCCCCCGGCTGCAAGAATTTCTGCCAAATATAAGAGGTGTGTGTCAGTACTCACTCAGCCATCCTAACGTCTGTCCCTCCCTCTCTAAACTGGGACCCTGTACCAAAACATCTGCATTTATGTGGTGACGAATACACATCTGCAGGATTCTGCTAGAGATACACGTTGCTTAGACATTTCTTCTATTTATCATGCAGACCTCTTCCTATTGCAGTAATTACCAATTAGCTGAGATAGCAAGAAGACTCTGTGATCCACCCCCTTGTGAGTTTGTTAACATTAGAAAGAACTATAGAGAAAGAGCAAATGAAGTCATTACAGGCAGTAGTTCTTGTCTTACAACAGTTTGTTTAGTTCAAAGTTACAAAAAGTAATTTATGACCGTTTTTCACACTAACAACCATTGCAGCATCCCCAGGGTCACGTGATCAAAATTCAGGAGCTTGACAGCTGTCTCATATTTAAAATGGCTGCAGTTTGTGCGAGTTGGAAGAAGTTTCCAGTTCCATCTTCTTGAATACAGGTTCCCCACCAGGCTGTGACTTGAGTTTGTTACCGTTCATCTTGATGACCCATGACTGCTATGTCAAATCTGCTACAAATCATATTGTGAAATATGCAGATGACATGGCAGTGGTGGGTTTTATCTGGGACAATGAAGATGTTTACAGGAGAAGATAAAGGCTTTGGTGGACTGGTACAATAAGGAATAACCTGGTTTTGAATGTTAATAAAACAAAGGAGATTTTTTGTTGTGGTTGATTTTAGGAAGAGTTGGCATAGCCATACTCCACTTTATATCAAGGCTGCAGCTGTGGAGGTGGCCAACAGTATTAAGTATCTGAGGGTGCTGATAATTAACAATCTGACTTGGTCTCTCCATATGTCACCCTTAGCAAAGCGTGCAAACCAGCATTTGCATTTCCTGCATCAGTTGAGGAGAGCATATCTTTCTCCTTCTGTCCTGGCCACTTTTTACAGAGGCACGATTGAGAGCGTTTTAACAAACAGGAATGTTTGGTTTGGTGGCTGCAATGCCTCAGAGAGGAAGTCCATACAGAGAGTGGTAAGGATAGCCAAGGAGATTATAGGACGCTCACTTCCCATTATTCAGGATGCTTCTTATAAGCGCTATGTGCTTAGAGCTCAAAGCATTGTTAGAGACCCCACACACCCACTTCAAGGTCTTTTTCTGTTGCTCCCCTCTGGGAGGAGGTTTCGAAGTATTTCTAGCAGGACTAGTACTGTAGCCGTAAAGAGCTTTGTTCCTTATGCCATCTGCCATATAAATTCACAGGATTCCTTTCCCCCCCTACATATATGGACACATTCGAACTAGACTGTGATGTTTTTCTGTGACGTGTGTGTGTGTGTGTGTGTGTGTGTGTGTGTGTAATGGTTATCTTTTGAGAGCTGAAGGCAACAAAATTTCATTTTAATGTATGCTGATTAGCGTGCGTTTAAAGTGACACTAAAGTTCTGTTCTGCTCCGTTTTGTTCTATCATGTGATCTCCTTTTGTGACCTTCGGACAAGCAAAGTCAATGGGAGGAAGCCAGATTCACTTAACAGCCGTATCACTAATTTAACAATTGCAGGGATTCACTTAACAACGGTGGCAAGAAAGGTCGTGAAATGGGGCAAAATGCACTTAACAAATGGCTCACTTAGCAACAGAAATTTTGGGCTCAATTGTGGTTGTAAGTCAAGGACTACCTGTATTTTTTTCCCTTACACCAAAGGATTAATTTCCCTCATGGAAGTCCCTCCCTTTGGAAGTTGCCAAAGAAGCATAGTTTAGAGGCAATTAAGTATATACTACTGCCCTCCTGAACAAACATTGCAAGATAAGGGCGTGGGTTTATTTATTTATTTATATATATATAAATATATGTGTGTGTATATGTGTATAATGGATACAGTGGAATAGGCTTCAGATTTAAAAGAAAACATGACCAATTAAAAAAAAAAGTCCCCTACCAAATTATAAAAAACCCCTATCTTCCCCAACCTGTACCTTATCCCTTCCCATAGCTCACAAAGTAACCCAGTCGAAAAACAAAATTAGGAAATTCCCAAGAGTTCTATATATGATTCATTAATTTGGATTTGTTGCTTGCAAAATAGAAGTTAAAAGTGAAAGCAAAGAAATGTTTGCCAGCACAAGGTAGAGTACAACAAATCAAGGTTTTTGTTCTGGCTACTTCTCTTGTACGTTTGTACTTTGTGACTGCTCCAGGGAGGTCTACAGAGTATGATTATACAAAAAAAAAAAAAAAACAAAGATGTGCGACATGTAAAAAACAGGTGGAGTTTTGAATAGTGTACATATATTCACTGATTATAGAGGCAATTACAGGCTACAGAAGGAGAACTTTTGAAATGAAAAGTCAGTTTTTAAAAAAAAGATGGAATTGTTGGACAACACTATCCTAGAAGAGCCTTTTCCACATGCCAAGTTTTATATGCAGGTATCTTTTAAAAAAGCAACCAAGAAGAAGTTTCAGTCTAAGGTTTCCTTCAATTGTATATAGAACTAGCAGATTAGCTTAACCTCATAAAATATTATTATGCCTGCTTGCTACTAGGGTGGTCATGTTGTCTCCAGACAATTCTGGGAAAGAGGCTAAAAAATACTTGAAATACATTAACTGACGTAACAGACATGACAACCAAGGGAGAGTCCTTCCAGCAGTTTAAATAATTCCACTTATGATTTAAATAATTATCAGAAAGCCACATTGTCTGATTGATCCAGATTTATTTCCTCCTCCCGTTGAGAGAGAGAGAGAGACTGATTGACTTAGATATTGCCATGCACTGAGTGTCCTGATATACTCTGGGCAGTCCTCCATTTTAAAATAAGTTAGAGTGGATTCAAAAGCAGAATATACTGTGGGAGGTTGTCTTGGGGGGAAAAAACTGTAGCTAGTTTAGCATTTTGGCTGCAAGTTATACCAGTATGCATTCAGTGGGAGTTAGAAATGAGCTGGTAACTGAAGTATAGATGAGAAGTTTTTGAACACATTTCACCCTAGCAACAGCTAATCATCTGGAAGCTATTAAATGTTTGGCTTTGATTATTGGCTTGTCTTATAGTGTCTGTGGCCAGCTTTATAGCAGTATAATTCCCTAAAAATGGTCTCCTTTATTAAGAATTATTTTTCACCATGTAAAACTTTACAGCCTCTGAGGACATAATATACAACTTTTGTCACAATAAAAAAAATACAAATATGGTATGGAAATATAAGAACTCAGCTTCACATTTCTGCTGATTTATGAAGCTTTGAACATTTTACAGGACTGTTATGAAAGTAATATCATAGATTTTTAGCTTTTCTTAAAGAAGTGGTAAGATGCCTATGTAATGAATTTTGGGGAACAAAGATGAAAGCAATATGTCTTTTTTTAATGTACAAAGTAGTTCTATTGGGCAGAATAAATAATGATGAAAAGCAAAGGGCAATTGGTGGCTACAAATACGTTTTTAAAACAAGACAGTTAATGTTTAGTGAACATTTTTACTTCTTAGAAAAGAAAGAAAAGAAGAAGGAGAGAAAATTAAGTTATATTTCCAAAGCACCATTGTAAAACAAAATCGAAAATAGTGAAATACTGGAGAAAATGTATAATTCTTTGCCAATGATTAAAAAAAATAGCTCTAGTACTTATTTGGTTTTAGCACATAATATATTACTAAACTGATGGCACATACTGTGGCTTCCTTATAACCTGACTGGTTTTCTTAAGCACCAAGCACCGTGTTTCAACTTTTTGGTGAGATTGAGAGATTTATCCTAGATTGATTGTGCTAATGAAGCAAGCCCAGCATGAAAAGATTCACAGTTAAGAGATATGCCTATACTTGAACAAGGTTTATAAGTGCTAAGCCAAAATATGGTTGGTTTGAGACTTAGCAAAAAGTGTGAACCCAGCCATTGCGATTTATAAAATCTAGTTTATGACGTCTCATCAGTGTAAAGCCAATTATAGGTTATTCAATAAATCATAGTTGAAGACAAAAATAAGAAAAATCTAAGCAATATAATCCCACCCATGTTTATTCACACAACCCCATGGATATAAATGGGCTTATTTCCTTTAAATTTTCATAATGCTACAGCTTCAGTGCTTCCCACGATTCCTGTTCCTGTGACTTTTGCCACCAGATTTCATCCAGTTGGAACGTGATATCTCCCATTTAGCAGCCACCAGCATATAGGATGGGATGCTGGGAATTGTAAACCAACTCAGGCGGAGGGCATCGTATATGGAAAACAGTCACTAGACTTTGGCCAATGCACTAAGGTTCAACTTAAATGCTTGTCTTAATTCCTTCTTATATCAGCATAGATGATTCTAGACACATGGGGGGGGGGGGGTTGCAGAAGAACAACCCCCCCTCCAATTATTACATTTCTTACCAACATCAAATGTCCCCTACTTTTCAATACGATGGTAAGTGCAATACTGGAAACTCAAAACTCAGCCCAAGGAAATAAAGGAGTGGTAATTACAAATACCTTGCTTGTTGTCCTGTAGAACCAGTTGGTGGGAGAAGAATATGATCATCCTCCATGGTTTTTATCGCCTCAGGAGCTGAGTTCTGGCAATGTGGTTGATGACTGGGAAATGTGAATTTTTAAAAGTTTGCTGGGCTTTTCAAGTGTTTCTTGAAAGGCAAATGAAGGAAGTGAAAGTAGAAAGACCTAGGTAGCTGGAAATACCCTTCGATATTCTGCCCACATTATTATCATGAAGGAATATAATTGGGCATTTTTATTCTAGATTTAATTGTCATTGGGTACTCAAATGACATCATCTGTTGGCAGGCAACCTGTGGCTGTTCTTTGTTCCATTCAACTGTTAGTGTACAGAAGCATTCGCAAACCAGTCTTTAACATTGCTAATGATTTTGCAGCTACTTCACTAAAGAAAAGAATGCTTCTGGGAACAAAGACTTTTGAGGTGTTAGGAACTCTGTACAGTTACATAGACATTCCTTTAAATTCAGATCAAATAACAGCCTCAATGGATTGTAGTTCATGTTCAATTCACACAGCTTTTGTTCGTGTTGATGTTGCCTCCCTATTCCAACGATTTTGATTTTCTCCATACTCAAAATGGTGGCACTTCCTGAGAGTACATTTGCATGTGTTTTAATAAGTGCCAACTGACAGGAAGCTAGCATCTAGTTCAGGATCCATTCCATCTCTCAAGGAGAAAGGTTTTGTAGGTAAATTTCTCACAGAAACTTCAACCCCAGAACAGGATGTGGAATTCTGAATTTTGGAGAGTCTGATCCTCAACTAGTTCTTGTTGGGAAATGATTGAGGGAAATTCCAAGTTTAGTTTGCACCCCACAAATTCCTAGTCTATTCTTATATTCAGATTAGAGCAGGGGTCTCCAACTGTGGCAACCTTAAGCCTGATGGACTTCAACTCCCAGAATTCCCCAACCAGCTTGCTGGGGAATTCTGGGAGTAGAAGTCCTCCAGGCTTAAAGTTGCCAAGGTTGGAGACCCCTGGATTAAAGCAAGAATTCACCACTTGGTTCAAGATCTGCCTCGGTACCTGTATCTTTTTTTAATTTATTAAGTATCAGGTAATATCAAAACATTAACTGATAAAAACAATTAAAGGGCAGGCAAAAGCAGGAAAAAAACCATTAACATTATCTATCAAAAGGTCCAATCCAAAGAATTTTTCAGAGCCACTGAATCAGTACCTTAAGCCATTAGCAAAGACATCAAAAAAAGGAGTCGTTTTTGGTTATTCCAGCTATAACCCTTTTTTTGTATGTAATGGCAGAGGAATAGAGATGGGAAGTAAGATGTGAGGTGATATTTCCACAATGCAGAATGGAGGAGCTAGCTGTTTTCTGGATAAGGATAATGCAGTATTTCTCAATTTGAGAGTAAGAAACATTGGAATTACGTACCCAACAGTTCTTATAGGGACTTTAGCAGTGCTAAAACAAATAGCGGTATGGCCATTATTTCATTCATTTTAAAATAAACGTTTGAGCTAGATCAGAGGCCCTGTTTTAATGCAGTCATTTTATCCAGTGGCAGAATGTTAGGCAGAAATTTAAATTTAGGCTAGAATTTGTAGTAGACTAAAATACAAAGAGTTGATCTGACAATCTGGACAGTTTCCTAATCTGTAGTATCCACACATACAAGATAAAATCCAGCATCATGAGTAGACTTTGCTGGTCAATTGTGCTTTCCACTCATTTTCTTTCCTTTGAAGTCCTTTTTAATCTAAGATCTACTTGAGAGGAGTCTAATCCTCAGGAGCAGAGTTTAAATATTCAAATCATGATTTAAATGAATATATACTTTTGACTATATTTTCCCAACCAGCCAGTAGGCATAGTTTAATTTATATGCTTTCTTTAATATTGATAGGGAATACTTTCCCAATGGCTACCTGATCAGCACATTCAGTTGAGAGATGAGACCAGTCCAGGAATATCCGCCTACTAAAAGTATCAGAAAAATCAGCTGATCATTGGGAAAGACAGGGCAAGGAGACGGGTACATGCTCCTGTGGTTTACAACATCACAGCAAGCTACTCAGTCCTTTGTGGCCAGATTTTCCACCAATGCTCAACAGCCTTGAAGAAGACCTGGGGGGTAACTCATGGGCTCCTTCTGAGCAAAATGGGTCTTATTTGTTTATTTATTTATTGGAATTTGTCAAACAAAAACAATAAGAGAATAAAAATACGATGACAGGGATGATAGGCATGTTAGTGCACTTATGCATGAGCCCTCTAGTGACCACTTAAGTATGAAGTAAGGTCCATGGAAGTCAATTTGTGACTGAAACTGTGAAAATGTGTAGCTGACAACTTTGACAACTCTATTACAGAAATCATATTTTTTACAGTCAACTTTAAGAGTAACTTTTCACAGTTCATAAACTTCACAAATGTGGGTGTCTTCCATTCAGACCTTAAAAAGGCATGTCTCCAAATATACTTGCTGATGCTCCAAGGAAATAGTTTAGATTTATGGGTCCCAGTATCATTATTGAGGTTGTTTCTGGTTCTCTTCTTGCCTCTGGGTGGCATTTTTAGGTCAAAGGATGGAGACAGAGGGGTGAGAGATTGGGAGCTCTTTTCAGGAGCTGCTGGTTTGGACCACCTTGGCTCCTACTGATTTAATATTTTTAGCTTCTTAAAATATTGTTTGTTAATAAAAAGATTTGATTTGATATGCATGTAGTTTTCTCATTAACAACAGGAAAGTGGTTTTATCATCTTCTTTTCAGTCTATTGTACAGGGCTGGGATTCATTGATGGCCTCTTATCCAAATACCAACTAGGTCCAACCCAGCTTTTTTTAGATAGCCATGGTTAGATAGTACTGCCACCTAGTGATTATATTAAGGGAAAATATTTTATTAAAGAGAATATTAAACAACTTATTAAAGAGAAATGTATTGAAGAGTATGGACCATATGGTATGTCTTGCTACCTCCAAGAGATAAGAAATGCAGGCTTTTTTTCACTACATTCTACTGATTGGGTTAATATTAAAATAGACTTTTATTAGCAATAGTAGTAATAGCCAATACAAATGCCCTATTGAGGTGAAATTCAGCCTCTCAATAGACATTGTGCTTGTTTGTTTCAGTTAGGAAACAGATCCTCTGCTTTTGGAGATGTTAAAAGGAGAATTCATTTATAGAGGAACCACAGAACATTTCAGAACAAAACCTTGGCAGCATACTTTGCAATGTGCTATATTCTCAAAAGCTTTAAGTAATTACAGCATTTTGTTGAGAATGAGTGTCAGCATAGTAACACTACATTGTGAAATGGCTGATTTCTTAGCACCTACCTAGTCACCTTGTCCTTATATTTTGATTTTTGCTAGCAATTTCATGGGTTCATTTTCAAATGAGTCACTTCTACATTAACAAGCAACCACACAAAAGAGGAATTTTTCCAAGATGCCATTTTCACAGAATGAAACTACGAAGAAGTCATGAGATTGCTTCTCTAAACTATTTTCAGAAGGAAAAGCTGTCTTTTTAAGTATAATGTCAGTGGGCTCCAAAACACAAGAGAGCCAACACAACACAGCTCCCTTGGCAACACACAAGTATTTACAGGTTCACTGCTCACTACCCAACTCTTCCCCCACTGGTACTACACCACCTCCTCCTGCTCCAACTATTACTCCTTGTGAGTCCTATTACTGGAGGACAGCACCTCTATCTGCTCTATGCTTTATTTCCACACACAATCACCAGCTGCCTCCTGAATAGCTTTTATAATTAAGGTTTCTGTGGTGGCTGGGGAGAAGGCTTAAAAGGCAGGATAACTGCACGGGTACTAGCATTTTCTAGGTAGCTTGCCTTCTCCCAGAAGCAAAAGTTTACATATAATTTATCCCAAAGGCAAAGATACCAAAGAGTGCAGCTGAGACAAATGGTTTCCTTTGTCATATATCTCACTGCCGGGAAAGTACATAGTGACTGAAAGGTGTGAATTTGCATTTAAGGTTGCATCCCGTTAAAAAAAAATACTTCAACCTCTATTGTAAAGTAAATATTGGGTTTAAGCAGTTAATCAGATTTTCAATTAGATTCAGCACCTTTTCTGCTTTATATTTTTGGCAGTTATTGTTTAAATTTAAAAGATTTCCTACGAAATGCAGCAATTAACTTGTATTTCTTTTTTTTAGTTACAAGTGTCCATCAAAAAAAAAAAAAAGGTAAGGCTTCAAAATGGTCCCATTTTCAAAACATGATTCCAGATGTAGACTGGAGCTCCTATTATCTTCAACGGATAAAGTTGGGAAAGATTTGCATACCAACATCAGCAACGGACTAGATGTTGAAAATAAAAGTTTAGTTCATTTTCCATTCTGGTTATCTTCCAATTGTACCAACTAGCCTATAATTTACATCCCAACACTACAAACTTGAATTATCTTGGAATTTACATCTATGAAGTGTCAAGCAAAAGTTTAGTATCTATTAAATAATCCTGCTGTAAAGATGATTCAAGAGCACCAGGCCTGAGGGTCAGTTAAAAAACGAAGTCTTAAGTTTCTCAAAGACGGGCATTTTTTTAAATGGTGAAACACTGTATATAATAGCCGAAATTAAGGAGTGTGGCATTAACAAGCGAGCTGTGGTTATCTATTATTGAATTGGGTCATCATACAGACCACCAAGATGGGTAAATGTTTCTTGCATAGAAATTCTATGGCTGGTTTTCCCAATTTTAAGACCATTTAACACATGCTTACGTCAGGCTTGTTATGCCACTGCATACATGCTTTACATGTCAGTCAATTCCACTGTGTAGTCAACAATATTTCTTGGGGGGTCCTTGAATATTGTTGCCCAATCACACGTATGACATTTTCCAACCAATTTTTTTAAAATAACAAACTAAAACTTTGTCAGGAATGAGGATCAAAAGATTTGAGGCAAACGGCTACTTTCCAAAAGGACTTTTTTGAGAGAACTTTAGAAATTCAATGCACACAGGTCAATTTTGCACAGCAGCCTTTCGGATTGGAGGCTGAGCTCTTCATCTGGGGAAGCAGGCATCCAAGAAGACAGAAAGCTCAATCTATACGAAGAATGCAGCCATTCTCTGTCTCTACTTTTAACTACCAACATTATGCATTACCTCCAAACTCTACTTAACTGGTAAGAGTCTTCATTTGCAATACCGCTTTA